TCTTTATTATTGGCACTGACAGTAAGGATTTGCTGGCTGACTGAAGTGAATGGGATGGAATGTAGGGTGTCAGAAGCTCTTTCAGGTACTGTGAGCCTTGATTATTTAAGGCTTTGAAGGTTAGCAGCCCAATTTTAAAATATTTTCGCCATTTAATTGGAAGCCAATCCAAGGAGTGGAGAACAGATGTTATGTGGTAGGAGCGGGTTAAATTGGTCAGTAGTCTGGCTGCTGCATTTTGTACAGGCTGAAGGCGATGTTGTTATTTTTCTGGGAGGCCCAAGTAAAGTACATTGCAGTAATCTAGCCGAGAGGATACAAATACATGGATTAATGTTGGCATATCATCCGGTGGAAGTAAGTGTTGTATCCTGGCTATGTTTTTCAGGTGAAAGTAGGCAGATTTTATTACGGAGGAAATCTGCTGTTTAAATGAGTCCAGAGTCAATCAGCACTTCGAGGTTTCGTACCTGTGATGAACTGATGAGTTCAGAGGCTCCAAGCTCCAGGCCAGTTGTGTGACCATGGGATATTTTTGTTGCCCAGGGTCCCGTCACCAAGAGTAACTCTGTTTTGTCCGGGTTCACTTTAAGCCAACTAGCATTCATCCATTCTATGAGGTCTGCTAAGAAACTGTTGATGCGGCATGTGATATCTGGAGCAAAGGAGAAGACAAGAGTTGTGTGTCATCAGCGTACCAATGATACCTTAGGCCATGTCGCCTAATGATGTCCCCCATCAAGTAAATTGAGAATAGCATGGGAGACAAGATGGATCCCTGTGGAACTCTGCAGGCCAGTTCCGTTGGTGCCGATGAGCTTGATCCTGATGTTACTATCTGTGATCTACCAGTGAGGAAAGATTTAAACTAGTTAAGGACTGTGCCTCCTAGACCACAAATGTGCTGCAAGTGCTCTATTAAAATCCTATGGTCAATGGTGTCAAACGCAGCTGAGAGATCCAAGAGGATTAGGATGAAGTAATCACCTTTATCTCTCGCCATAAGTAGATCATTTAGCACTCGGACTAGTGCTGTTTCGGTGCTGTGGCAGCATCTGAAACCTGACTGGAAAGGATCAAAGATGTTAAAGCTTGCGAGATGGGCCTCCAGTTGAGTTGTCACTACTTTTTCAATTATTTTCCCCAGAAATGGAAGGTTCGATACTGGTTTGTAATTAGCCATAAAGGTTTCTTTTTACACTTAGACACAACAACAATATATTGCTTGATAAGGTTAATTTATGTTTGGCTAAACACTAACAGCCATATACATTGCAAGAACATCAAATATGTAATTTTGCACCTGACCATGCCAGAACGTCACAAACGCAGTCTTAGCACATAACCATCTTTGTTCTTTTATATTCTAAGGAGGCCCTACTCTACACCCTCCTATTCTAAAGACACCCCATCTAGCAATGTCCCCTAGATATGTTTTATATCAATGATTGGTTATATACTTTCACCAATGTTGTATGCACGAACTTGTTCATGATGTTATGGGCAAATGCAAATATTACAAGTTTTAGAATGAAATGTTGTATTTCTTAAACTGTGTAATTTGTCTTTAAGAGATTGCAAACTGACAAGGTGTTAGAAATGGAACATATTGTTTTTCATAACGGTTTCTTTAAGCAATAACCTCAGTGCATAATATGTTTGTGCCATTTTGTCCCAGGCGAATTACAATAAAAAATAATGCATAAACAAGCTTCAAGGCTATGCTACGACTCTTTCAGTACGTAATATACTGTGGTAACCTTAGTAGATAAGGATGTCCAGACTTTAAGATGCCATCTTTAACGAAGTCAGGAAAATTTCCATGATGTATACACCCTTTAGTTATGGCCTTGTATGTTTGCCAAATTAAGGGAGGTCCTAAAATGAATAAAGTAAAAGAAGTGTTACTTTTTCATATATGAACTACGGCAGGGCCGTCTTTAATAACGAATGGACCCTGGGCAAGTGTTTGCTTGGGCCCCCTGGGCCCTGCCGCTCTCGCCCCTCACTCCCTGGTATGCAATCACGGCATCCATCCCAACGCAGTGGCGGTACTAAAGTAGAATGAATTTTATTGGGACCCCCAATTGCAGGGTTGGACTAAAGGTAGAACCCCATCTGTCGTGCAACTCCAACAATGCTTTGACAGCTGGGACTCTACCAATTTCCCATGCTTGCAGGGTTGTATTTAACACTGAGCCATGTTTGTATGTTTGAATGTAAGCATGTGTTTGTATGGAGTATGTTTGTGTGAATGTGTTTGTATGTGGTACTGGAGTTTGAATGCAAGTGTGCATTTATGTGTAGTGTTTGTTTTTGAATGTAGGAGTGTGCTTGTATGTAGTGTTGACATTTCAATGCAGGAGTGTGTTTTATATGTAGTGTTGAAGTTTGAATGGAGGGGTGTATTTGTATTTAAAGTTGTGGCTCAGATGCACAGGTACACACTCTGACGCACAAGCAGATACACAGATACATACACTGACTACATACAGATAAACAGGCACATACACTGACAGACATACTGACACAGGTACATATATTGACACACACACAGACACATACACTGGTAGACATACTGACACAGGCACATATACAGACATACTGACACACAGACACATATACCGACATACTGACACACACACAGACACATACACTGATCAACATACTGACACACATACACTGACAGAAATACTGACAACCACACACTGACAGATATACTGACACCCACATACACTGAGAAATACTGACACACACACACACACACAGGCACATACACTGACACACACAGACTGATATACTGACACACACACAGACATACTGGCACACAGACAGATATACTGACACATGCATACACATGCACTAACAGACATACTGACGCACTGACAGACATACTGACACATACACATACTGACACACACAGATATACACACATATATATACTGACACACAGACAGACAGACATACTGACACACACACACAGACATACTGACACACACACAGACAGGCATACTGACATGCACAGACAGACTGACACACACAGACATACTGAAACACACACACACAGATATACTGACACACAGACAGACATACATACTGACAAAAACACACACAGACATACTGACACACAGACAGACATACATACTGACAAAAACACACACAGACATACTGACACACAGACACTAACACACAAACACACACACTAACACACATACACTAACACACACTAACACACATACACTAACACACTAACACACATACACTAACACACACACACTAACACAAACTAACACACATACACTAACACACACTAACACACATACACTAACACACTAACACACATACACTAACACAAACTAACACACATACACTAACACACACTAACACACAAACACACACTAACACACATTTTTTTTAAAATGTAATCCCCCCAGCCTCCTTACCTTTTGGAGTGCTGGGGGGATTCCCTGGGGTCCAGTGGCCCTGCTGACCCCGGCGGGCGGGCGGGTGGCCGGTCGGGCAGGAAGGCGGGCGCGCGAGGGAGCACTCACTGCTTCCTCTTCAGCTCCCTCGCGCGCCGCGTAGGGATGCCGGCGCCGGAAGATGGCGTCATCTTCGGCTCGGTATCAGTCGCGATGCTTGAGGGCTGAAGAGGGAAGCAGTGAGTCCCTCACGTCAGCGACTTCCTGCCCGTAGGCCAACTCTCCGGAGCCCTGGGTAGCCTCGGGGGCCCCAGGGAAGAGGCTGGCCCTGTGGCTACATACCAGGGTCGCAGCCGCGACCCTGGTATGTACGTCACTGCCCCAAGTGCATGGGCCACCCGGTGGGACGGGAAAAAAATTAATTGATGAGGGCAGCGGGGCCCACGGGGCAGGTGCCTCGGGCCCCCCAAGAGAAACTGGGCCCGGGGCAGCTGCCCCGTTTGCCCCGCGTTAAAGATGGCCCTGAACTACGGTAACCCTAAAATGGAGACACCAAAGGTATAAATAGGTGTACTTTTAAATGTTAAGACACAGAGGAGAGACTTGGAGACAGACACTGCTCCACCTTAAAATGACAGAGAGGCTGACATGATGACATGTTCAGAAGGGTATGTTAACCTATTAATGATATTTTCAAGCATTTAGTTTAATCTTATAAACTCTGCTATATGGATTTGATATGTCTATATTTATATAATAAATATCTAAAAAGACAAAACTTTATTGCTCCCAAGACAATCCTTATTTTATATTGTATTCTCAATTATTTATACATGTTAAATAGAGGATCTCTTACTAACTTTATAAAATTATAGTTAGTAAAAATATCTGTATGGTTAGCCCTGCTAAGTTCTATGCTTTAAGACATTATAGTGGTAAATAAGGGAACCAGCCGCGGTTACAATGATGTTAGTTAATAGTTGTCAATATTTGGTTGGTAATTAATGACACTCCCCCTGGACTCAACTTTCCTGAACAGACTCCCTTGTCTGTCTATCAAGAATGTCTCCAAGTACTTGAAAGAACGTGGCTCAGTCTGAATAGAACTGTAAGACTGTGGCAGGTAATTCTGGTGGTCACCAAGGACAGGTGTATCAGAACAACAGCGCTCCCAGAACAACAGGGCCATTAAAGGGGACAGAGGGATTTGGGAACAAAATAAGGACTGTCCCTCCTAAACAGGGACACTTGGGAGCTATTCATTCTCTGTGGCAAGATGGAGCATTTTAAATTCCATCCGGTTTTAACTCAGCGATTTCATAGCCTTCCACAATGCTCGGGCTAAAGAAAAAAAATGTGAATTACACAGCAACAGTGTGACCCTAACGGTGTGCTATATCTGCCAGCCAGCTACTGTTGCCATCTACATTTAGCTGAGGTTTCTTGTGGCAGCCATCTTGTCGGAGCCCATGGCTGTTATCGTACACTCTTCACTTCTAGAAACCATGTTTCCGGAGCCCACTTGAGGCCGAAGACACTCGATACTCTCCGTTCTAGTAGCGATTGGAGACTGTGCAGAAACAACGTCATTAAGGCGCGCCGACCCCCGTGGCGCGTTACCAAGGCAACCCCGTTCAGCCAATGAGATTCTGTGATAGAATTGTGGCGCCAATGTTTCCGTGAAGGAGATTTCTTTGAAAGCGGGGAGCCGGAGTCCCGGGGACCGGAATGGGATAGCAATAGATAAAGCTGGAGGTAAAACAACCAAACCGATAATTATTGTCCCTCCACCATTATGTCACCGAGTTTATTCCCAGACAGCTGCTGGCTTTATAGAGGGACCACCCTGCCAGGTCCGTCTATTAAATAACATGTCAAATATAACAACAACAATAATAACAACAACAATAATAATAATAATAACCCAGCCGTACTGCTCTCTGCCACCCTGAACACGGTGTGTGGTGGAGAACACATAACAGACATAGTCCCTTTATTTGGGTAATTTAATAAACTGTGGATATTGCAGGGTAGGAATGGTGATTTTCATGGTGCACTATATATTTTATATACTAATCCTTCTATAAAATGCAGTGTGGTAAACCATGGTCTGCTTTAAGGGTGATCAGGTGACACATAAAGGGACAAGCCTTGGCATAACTGTCAGGGTTGTTCACTGGAATAGAAATTCTGACATATTGATTGAGTGAATTGAACATTTTAGGAAAAATTATTCAAATTGGATATCCAAGCTACTTTGACCTACACATTGAATTCCCCCAATTGCTTGCCAAGTGTAAAGCCTCTGGGTGTCTACTGCAAAATTTGCAACGTTTTTGTCACATATTCACCCACTCAAATCTGTATAAACCATAGGTGTGTATGTGGTAAGACTTAAACAATAAATGTAAGTTTACATGGACTATCACTGTTAAACCAATGTGGTTTCTGAACACTAATAGGATTGCAAATGTCATGCTAGGCTTGCAGATAAAATTAATTTAATATAAGATATATAAACAGAATAGTTGCTTGTTGGTTCTGCACCACATACATGGTTATTCACTGAAGTGAGAATTCTGGGAATTCAAGTGAATTACAATAAAGATCCGCTATTGCCAAAGGAACTAGGCTTCCAATATCAGCTTGCATTTTATATACCGTTATATTTCAACAGGCGGTGGCAAATACTCTCAAGTGATATTATGGTTACATACAGAAATGTTTTACACATGGTTCTGTTGCTTTCTTACACATGCCTGTGAAATGAATATTTCTGCATTTATAATACTTGTACACTACAAAACTACTGAATGCTTGCTCTACAAGTAAAATTGGTCTGTGTGGTTTAAATTAAAGTTTAAGGACAATATGCAAGGCACAAGAGACCGGATTATTACTAATAGTATCTACGTGTGTGTGTAATATATATATATATATATATATATATATATATATATGTGTATATACACACACACACCTCATATGTCATGTGTATAGGTATCTGATTGTGATTATTTTGTTGTGTTGGTACCATACATTGTAGGCTGAACTCTCAGGAATCACTTTTCATCTTCACACATTTCTGCTTTTGGTATTCTATTTGATAATGAAAGGTAAAAGGACACTCCACACTCTGAAACCACTTAAGCTTGATGAAGGAAGTTAGGAGTTAACAGAGTGTCTCCTCTTAACCCGTTAAGGACCAAACGTCTGGAATAAAAGGGAATCATGACTTGTCACACATGTCATGTGTCCTTAAGGAATTAAAAACCTACTGTAGTGGTTATAATGCCAGGAACACCCTGGCTCGGTTCTCCAGTAATGGGGCAAACCATTTAGCAATGGTTTGCCACTGTTACCGGGAAACTAACGGAGGCCAAGCACAGAGAGATGGACACAGGTTTCTTCAGGAAGGAAGAGATCTTTATTCGATTCACCGACCGGGACTCAGAGGGACTTATGTCACCAAAAACAGCAAAGATCTGAGCACTGAATACATAGAGTAGATTCCTTATATAGCACTGTAGCTCCTCCCATAATTAGCTACGCCCACACATACCCTTAACCTAATCAATGAATAGAGTCTAAACTCATCCATCCGGTCTAACCACGTGGCTCATCTGAAACAAAGGAGAGGGATGGGTAATTCCAGTTCCTGCATTCCTGTACATGCTCAGTACAGTGATGACAGTATCTTAGCTACGTGTAACTAACTAACTAACTGATACTACAAACACATGTACCGACATAAGCCTTGTGGCAATCTTGGCCTGCTAAACTTTTATTTTACTGGAATTCCATCACATTGCCCCCTTTGATGCTTCTGATTTAAAATAATTCCAGATGCATCACCAATCATAGTTTGCTTACACCTCAAGTTGCCATAAACCAGACTAGACTTTGCGATCCTCTAAAGATACGAACCCCTCAACATTCCTCTTCCTGCATGTATTCTCCTTGATCTAGAGCTTCATACCTGCAAACAGCCATTACCTGTGCTGCGGCCTTTCTTTCTGCTATACTTTCTATAATGCTCTGCATAGACCTAATTACCAAAGGAATCAGACATGGCAGAAGGAGACACAACATCAAAAATCAGTATGACTCCACCTACCAATGCCTTGATTCCTCCAAACTGCTCATACCAACTACCAAACCAACTACTCGGATTATACCCACTCCAGACCTGAGTAGGTACATGCGCAAGTTTAACCATGTGACTGGTAAGTTCAGCCACTGCCTGCCCTTCATCATCTTTGTGCAGACAATAGTTACTTAGATTAAACTTCCCGCATACACCTCTACTGCTAATAAATAGTCCAGAGCTAATCTATTTTGATAGATGGCTGATCTCATTCGGGTATTATGTTTAGCTAGGAGATTGAGCGCCTGTGCTGTCTCATTGGTAACTATCTCAACTACTGCTTGCAATCTTATAATACGATTAAGCATATATATTGGGGTTCTGTATCCATAAGTACCATCCTCTGCCCACGTAGCTGGCCCATAATAATCTATAATACGCTGGGGAGGCCACTCATCATCTTCCCAGGTACCTATCTCTAGGGGTGCCCTTTTCTTCCTATGATTTACATCATATACTTTAACTCCCAAAGTCTCTCCTGTTTCAATTGGCAACAAGAAGAAGGATGGTTTGAGCATACCAAATACACATGCCCCTTCCCAGTCCTGTGGTAACTCCGAATATGCTTTCTTACCACAAATCCTGTACAAATTTGCCGGGGCTTTCCAACTAGATGTAGCAGATAGGTCAAACCATACATCCTTTAAATTGGTATAATTTGCAAACGGATTAGACGGTTCTGAGACATTTGAAGCTGACCACCTAGTAGTATCTTTTGTATCGTCATTATAGGCTTTCTGCCCTAAACAAGTCAATTCTCCTACAGATGTATTAAACATTATTCCTTTCCTTGCTATACAAACATAACCTATAATGGAGGTCTTTAATCACCACTCAGATTTACCTCTAACACTCACTTGATAATCAGATTGAGAAGATATTAGTTGTTCAACTGTCTCAGAACCAGAATACATTACCTCCTTTGCTTCCCAAGGCCATTGGTCTCCCATATTAGTACCTCCACACACATAGCAGTTGGTTACATTAAGACTACCAGCAATGCTCTCAGCTAGGTCTATGAATAAGTTTTTGGCATTATGGGGAACCTTATCTTCCACACTCATCTCCTCATAAAAAGAATGGAAAACCTGATGAGTCTGGGGGGCCACTGTATCTGTCTCTATTCCTATGTATAATATCGTCCCAGGATCCAAACCTGTTCCATATATTTGGAACCCAAATAGATTCCCAAACTTATCTATAAATAGCTCTGGGTCCTTGATAAGTATATGGACTGGGTTACACTCCATAGACTTACAATATGGCTTGGTAGGCAATCTAGTGATAATCATATCCTTATCTACTGTCTGTCCCCAGGTTGCCCATCCCACACAGGACCAATACGGACAATAATTGTAGTCTTTATTTGGGCAGTTTGGATCTATATACTTATGCTTATTACTAGGACAAATATACTTATCATTAGACCCATACGTTCTTTCCCATTTAAGACCACCACATACATTCCATGGCTTCCTACTACCTGATATCGCCTTACATGCATCAAATAGCAAAACACCTGGAGAATGTACGCTTTCTAGTACAGTCTTATTTATCAGGTTCCCCTGTGCGTTCTCATTCCGAATAGTCAACCAAATTGTACGGGGCTGATACTCAGGATTAAAACACCTAGGTTCTCCTGCTCCTATATGGCATACACTATAATCTGTACCTAGGTATCTACACTTTGATACATGTCCTGTGCACTCATATTGCGAATGCCAAATAAGGGTCTGGGAAATACGATTGCCTGTTTTCGTAGTCTTAATGCAAACCTCGCAGCCTGGTGTGTCGGTACCTCTACCTTCCTGAATAATTAAAAACACACATATATACATCATCAAACACATTACTCCTGACATCTTCTTCCTAATTCTTCGACCGTGCGACGGCACCTCAGCTTCCAGGCGTGTGAGGGCTGCAGGGAATGGAGTCCTTCTGATCCTCACTGTTCTTCACAGAGGATTCCTCTGGCTTAAACGTTGGTAGGTGGTCAGGCTTTATTGTGGCCGTCAAAACACCTACTTGTAGATCTTTGTTGATGTTCCCTTGTAACAATACTCTTCGCAAAAAACACTTTTAATCTAACTGGGTCACTCGCTTCAACCGGATCTTGCAGGGATTCTCAGGATCTTGAGTAGCTTGCCAAGAATCTGCTGCTGGTTTAACCCTGGAGTGATGAATCCACGGAGTCACTTCTGCCACCTTTATAGCTGTTGGAGTAGACAAAAGAACAGCATAAGGACCCCTCCACTTTGGCCCCAACGGTACACTGTTCCACTCCTTTATCCAAACTTGGTCTCCTGGATGGTAAGAATGAACAGGTGGATATATGTTCACAGGTAACCTATCTTGTACCCATTTCTGTACTTCCAACATAGTTCTACCCAACTCTACAACCTGCTGCCGAGTAATTCCTTCTTTCACATAGCTACTACCATCCGTATAATACTGTACATCCCGGTCCTGAATGCGAAAGTCATGAAGGTCCGGTTGGCTTGAAAAACACCTCATCCATTATCTCCAAACAATCATTTTACTTTCATTACGTTGTGGCAAAAGGGTAGCTGGATTCAGGGTATTAACAGTTTCACATAGCATGGCTTGATATTTAGTCATTCGGCTATTACTGAACCAATGATTACCTTTGTAATCCAATAGAGTCTGTACTGCATGAGGTACTCGCACGTGGAGTTCCTGTCCCAGTGTAAGCTTGTCAGCTTCTGCTACCAACAGGGCAGCGGCAGCCACTGCTCGCAGACAAGGTGGAAGACCACTAACCACTGCATCCAACTGTTTGGACATGTACGCGACAGGTTGTTGCCATGATCCCAGATACTGTGTCAGTACTCCCACAGCCATCCTTCTTTGCTCGTGTACATATAAGTAGAATGGACGTGTATGATCAGGTAGACCTAATGCGGGGGCGCTCATCAATGCCTTCTTAACATCCTCAAATGCCTTCTGCTATTCGATGGTCCACAGGAAGGAATCATGTTCCGTGCCTTTAATAGCGGCATAGAGGGGTTTCGCCAGTATTGCATAACTGGGAATCCATATCCTACAGAAGCCTGCTGCCCCTAAGAATTCTCGCACTTGTCTTCTATTCTTAGGTGTTGGTATTTGGCATACAGCCTCTTTTCTTTCAGGCCCCATTATCCTTTGACCTTCAGAGATATGGAATCCCAGATACTTGACAGTTGGCTGACACAACTGAGCTTTCTTCCTGGACACCTTGTATCCTGCCTTCCAAAGAATGTGCAGTAAATCATAAGTTGCTTGCTGGCATATCTCTTTAGTAACTGCCGCTATCAACAAATCATCCACATACTGAAGTAATACACATTCTCCTGGGATGGACTTGAAATCTTGCAGGTCCTGACTTAATGCGGATCCAAATAGGGTGGGTGAATTCTTGAACCCTTGAGGCAATCTTGTTCAGGTCATCTGACGTTTCGAGCCCGTTACAGCATCTTCCCATTGAAATGCAAAGATACACTGGCTTTCTGTAGCAATTCGTAGGCAAAAGAAGGCATCTTAAAGATCCAAGACTATAAAGTAAGTAGGCCCACCCGGAATCAAGGCAAGCAAGTTATAAGGATTGGGCACAACTGGATGTATACTTACTACCGCATCATTGACTGCTCTCAAATCCTGCACAGGACGATACTCATCTGACCCAGGCTTCTGAACAGGCAACAATGGAGTATTCCAGGGGGAAGTACAGAATTTTAGGATACCATACCTTATGAACTTATCCAAATAAGACTGTATGTTCTTCTTCGCCTTTTGAGGTATATGGTATTGTCGCAGGCTTACTGGATAAACCCCAAGCTTTAGTTCGATGCGTATAGGTGGGATATTGCGAGCAAGTCCTGGTGGGTTCTTTTCTGCCCACACTCCTGGTATATTATACAAGGATTCATCACTCTTAGGGTTTTGACTTGTCATCACTGTATAAAGTCGCCACTCTTCTTCCTTTGGTACTGATAGTGTCATTATACCTGAGGGTCCATTAAACTTCAAGGATGTTGTTCCGTTAGGCAGAAATGTTATCTGTGCTTGTAACTTCGACAACAAATCCCGTCCCAGAAGTTGGACTGGACATTCAGGCATGTAAAGAAACTGATGTTTCACTACGTGGCCTCCCAGTGTACAGAGTCGACTTTTGAGAACCGGTTTAGCAGCACTCCTCCCGGTTGCTCCTATTACAGTGATAGTTCTTCCTGAAGGAGGAGCAACTAGGTCAGTTACCACAGAATGTTCAGCACCAGTGTCGATCATGAAAGAACTCCTTTTTCCCCCTATTGCTACATCGACTATAGGCTCCGCTCGACCAAGGGGGATGGAGCCCGGTCGGTATCAATAGTCCTCCATGACAGTGTCAGCCAAACCCACAAAGTCCCTATCTTCTCTTTCTCACGGTCTCTGCGCTGCTGGGTAATACCTATCCCCTTGAACGCTTCCTCTACTATTCCCACCATTTCCTCCAGGGCCTCCTCTTCCTCTCACTCTACCTCTATAGTTATTACTATATCCTCCCCTTGTTCTATCTCTCTCATTTTTTTCCCTCAATGGACACTCACTCCTCCAATGCCCTTCTTCCCTACAATATGTGCATTGGTTCCTACTTAAAGGCTCCCTATTCCACTTATTCTCGCTTTTCTCGGTTCCTCTGTACACTTCCTTTTCCCTTCTATCTACACCAGCGATAGCTACCGCTAACATATCTACCTTTTTCCTCATCTTACGTTCCTTCTCACGCTTTGTCTCAGTTCCCTTATTCATATACACCTTATTTGCAACCTCCATTAGCTGTGATATGGATATCCCTGCAAATCTCTCCAATTTTTGTAACTTTCTCTTAATATTGCTCTGGGCCAGGCTGACAAATGCTGAATTAATCATTTGGAAGTTTTCAGGGGCTTCAGGATTGAAAGGAGTGTACAATCTATTTTACTCAAGCAGTCTCTCATAAAAAGCACTGGGTGATTCATTAGCTGTAACACTTCAGCCGTCCTGGACATGTTAATTGCCTTTTTCCCTCCTGCCTTCATGCCAGCAGTAATGGCTTGTTGATAGGCCTTTAAATGGATCATGTCAGCGCCATTTACATTCCAAAGGTCAGTAATAATTGCTGACAATCAGCCCAGGTGAGATTGTGGGTTTGTATAATAGAAGTAACCAAATCTGTCATGACTTGAGGCTTATCAGTGTATGAAGAATTATGTGTCTTCCAGTTGTATTTTAGACTATCACTGAAGACACACAGTATTCAATAGTTTTAGTGCTATTTCAATGTTTATGGTACAATGTCATTGCTGAGAATTATCTGATCCAATAGACTCAGTTACTGTTATTAAGAATTCTCCTCACAATTTAACTGTAAATAAAATTCAATGCTAAAATACACTCCTACCAAAAAGGAAGTCAATTTAAATTACAAAAAAAACAGTTTGTACAGAAATACAAGAGTTTGAAAGAAAAGATAGGTATGTGAGTAGGCGTGGACAATAGAGCAGGGGGAGTGCAAATACCAGCTATACCAGTTTTGGGCTACTCTGGCTCTGGAGGATGAATTAGGGGTTGGTAATCAGGGAGGTGTCCAAAGCAGTTGTAATTAAGGTTTTAGAGGACAAACAAGTTCTGGCTACCATGGACTCCATTGTTCCTCTTAGCACAGTTTGTTCCATTTAGCAGTGTTTCAACAATCTGTATACAGAAACTACTCGTATAGCCCCAACATATTATTTATAACACTGTAAACCTGCTGTATTAAATCTGGATCAAGGATCCACAGGAACACTGGTTACCAGAAGAGGCCGTCCTCTGCTACACAGAGTATTTTAATCCTTTGGGGGACAGTGTTACACCATAATCACAAACAGCATATTCCTTAGAAAGGGTTTTTTTTGGGGTTTTTTTGACGCATACAAGACAAAGGACTGTTTGTGAATCAGAAGCACCCATGATTTCAACAGAGCATCTGATTCAAAGCAGTACAAATATACAAACAGTTTCAACAGTCACACCAGTTACCTTAGCAACAGCACCACGTGGCACAGTTACTAGGCCAAACGCACACAACAAATCATACAGGGAATTCCCGTACACACACAGCTGTTATACCACACACTAAATAACTATTACTGTACCTTTTTTGGCGAAATTATACAATTACCCACGCTATAATTCTCAGTATTTAAATTACCCGTCTATAACACACCCTAGTAACATTGTCTTTACAAACAGTAGTTATAGTACGGTTAGCATTGGTTAGAATACAATTTTAAAGTCACAGGTCAGTTAGTAGTAGTTATGGTGTTAAACATACAACATAAACGACAGTTATTAGTGATTATTTACAGTATCAGTGATTATAATACATGGTTATGGTACCGTGCGCTATGATACAGTTGCACACTATTCACACTCTCGCTAGACGGCAGAGCTCACGCTACCCAGCAAGATATAAACTCTACTATAATAAATTTTAACACATTTACAGTTTCCCAACTAATCTATTGGACAGTACCTCGAGAGACTACCTAAAACTATTTACATCCGTTTTGGTTAGCCGTCGCTGCCCAAGCACCACATATAGCGAACTAGAGGGCGGAATTTACAACAATACCATTTTAGTCTATCTACTCTATCAATAGTCTAGTGGGTTCCAAATTTACACGCCTTCCCACTTAGCCAAGATAGGTTGAGAACTAGCAAACGTTAATGTACACCAGAGTCTGCTTAGTCTCCTGGTCCCTCCGACCTAGCGAACGAAATGTACACCCTAGATACGCTAGTCTAGACAAGACACCGGTGTCCGGCTTGGGCTATATACATTCAACCAAGACCCAGCCTGGCTCCATACCAAGATTAGACGGGCTGACTACAGGGCGTCTAATTATAAGCGGTGCGCCTTCGCTTCTTCCCTCCACTGGAGGGGGCCAATTCCATACACAATTCCAAATCAAACCCCTTATGGGCCTACCGCACAATCGGTATCCAATACCCCTAGTGGGTCCACCGTCTAAAACAGTAGTCGTCTTACCTCCTCGTTCCTGAACCTGAGTTCACACTCATCGACGGGGACACCCCAGCACTTACTACGTAGAGGCCGATGATCTCCTGGACAACAGACCAGTGGCGCCGAGACGAAGGGAGGTCCACGCAGAAGTTCAGGGGTGCAGCCGTAGAGAACGTGGGCAAAGATAGACCGTCTCACGCCTCTGCTTCCTAGCCACCATTAACGACGAGCTTCCCGGCCAATGCACCAAAGATGTTACCGGGAAACTGACGGAGGCCAAGCACAGAGAGATGGACACAGGTTTCTTCAGGAAGGAAGAGATCTTTATTCGATTCACCGACCGGGACTCAGAGGGACTTATGTCACCAAAAACAGCAAAGATCTGAGCACTGAATACATAGAGTAGATTCCTTATATAGCACTGTAGCTCCTCCCATAATTAGCTACGCCCACACATACCCTTAACCTAATCAATGAATAGAGTCTAAACTCATCCATCCGGTCTAACCACGTGGCTCATCTGAAACAAAGGAGAGGGACGCGTAATTCCAGTTCCTGCATTCCTGCACATGCTCAGTACAGTGATGACAGTATCTTAGCTACGTGTAACTAACTAACTGATACTACAAACACATGTACCTACATATGCCTTGTGGCAATCTTGGCCTGCTAAACTTTTATTTTACTGGAATTACATCACACCACCTTACCTGAGACGCCTCCGGGCTCTGATGCTCTCTGGTGGCCCAGTGACATTCTTTTACAGAAGCCGGAAGCTGCAGGGCTCAACATTCATTGGCTAAGAGCATCAGCTGACTGCTCTCAGCCAATGACTGTCATTTTGCGCAACAAATGACACTGCAGGAGTTATACCTCCAGCAACTGAGGGGTTATTGTCTGTATGTGCAGCATTTCACTATGACTTCAGGCACAATGATCACTTCAAAGCACTGAAGTAGTCATGGTGCTTGGAAAAACCCTTTAATAAACATTTTTCTAAAGGTCCGAAGTTGCACCCTGCAGGGTGTCAATCAGACAACGGGAGCTCTTCCTGACTGTTTTGTACTATAGCAAAAAGCGGAAGATGACGTTTCTCTTGCTGACACAGTAATTGCATCAAAATGCTTCTTTCTGAGAAAAATTTGGATTGACTGGTAGATCATCACCTGAGATAATCTCCCAGAGGCGGACTGGAGAAAGGCAAAAAGACTCTCTTGCCGCTGAGTTAGAAGTTATTGCTTTATTTCTCAGGTACTGGGGAGAAAAGATGTCCCAGCAAATTAACAACACACCAGTGTTATGAATAAATGTATTTATTTATAACGACAGTGTTGCGTTGTTTTGCTTGTTGTTTTCTTACTACACAATTTTTCATTTTTATATTATATTCCATAAACAAGCCCAATCTGTGTAAATGTTTTTGTAAAATGCAGCATTGTTTCAACTTTTGTCACCTATCTGATTCTTTATTCATTTAACATATCTTGGTTTCAATTTATGTGGTATTTTGTGTATTTCAGAGCATGGCAGCTCTTCCTCAAAACAACCTCCAGAAACAGCTGGAACTGTTCTCAAAGAGTACTGGGAACAAGCTTTCCCTCCAGAAGCCAAAACCAAGGTGGGTACAGGAATCCCTCAAGCTTGTACACTGATAGTGTTATTTAAAAAAAATAAGAATTGTCAGGAATTGAAAGTAAATTTAGAATTAACTTCAAATTCACGACCCCAACAGTGAGTGATAGATGCAGGACTGTCGCCTACAAGTATTTCAGCTTCATAAATCTTGAATACAATATGTTCTTATTCAAGCTTTAATAAAGTTTTAAGTAAGATTTAAAAAAACAAAACAAAACATATGGATAAGCAGTTTTCACGCTGATATGCTGCATCTTCAGACATCTGCTCCTGTTGTAGGATAGCCTTTATGCACTTGATATTAACCTGTTTTTCCTTTATTTTAGTGTGTTCACCTTTAAAAAGAAGACCTCTCCAGATGGATCGTTATCAAATAGCTTACTTCAGGCAAAGCAACATACAGCCCTAAAGGAAAAGAATGTAAATGTGACACAGGTGAATTCTCTAACACAGAATCCCCCTGGTTTACAGAAGCTGAAGGAGCAAGGTGACACAAATGGATTCTTCACTCCATCCTGCATAAGGCGGCCCGAGCCTTTATATAATCATATACCTCTGGAAAGTACACCTGTAAACGGTCAATGCCTCCGACAAGAAGAAAAAGTTTCCAAGAAAATAGACTGCAATAGTTTGAATCTGAGCATAGATGAATGGGATGATATTATAGATTTTGACACCTCTGTTTCTCCAAAGTCACACATTGGGAAACTTGGCAAATCAGCACAAAAATACACCAAAGCTCAAGTTGTGAATTGTCCTATTAACATTAATTCTGGGTCATTACATACTGCAAAGGATGACTCCACAAAAGTCTCTAGTACTTGTTCCACAGGACTTTCTCAAGCACCAAAGTCTTTACATGCTGAAAAGTCAAATACTATAGACCAGTCACTGGTTTACTGTGGGTCTGTGAAAAATAAAACAGGTCAGTGCCGCTTTTTAATAACTGAGAATGTTTGTTAGGTGAAAATAAACTAGTCTGTGGTATTTGTGCACATTTAAGTGTTATGATTGGATCCTAGATCAACACCAGATAAATTTAGCATAATGAAGCAATTTCTATTTATAGATCTTGCTCATTCAGTGCCACGGCTCAGTTGTCTGCCATTTAGGAGTTAAATAATTTTTGTTTATGAGGCGCTGCTCACACTTCATCTGGCTGTGACCCACAGTCTTCATGAAAATAAAGATTTACTTTTTAAAGATAACTTGCAGCTTAGTGCATGGGTCCTCAAACTCTGGCCCCCCAGATGTTGCTGAACTACAAATCCCATAATTCTTTGAATTACATAGATAGCCAGAGAATCATGGGAGTTGTAGTTCAGCAACATTGGGTTGGGGGGGGTGAGGGGGGAGTTTGAGGACCCATGGTTTAGTGCATGGGTCGTCAACCTGGTCCCTACCGCCCACTAGTGGGCGTTTTAGGATTCCAGGTGGGCGGTAGGGATTTCTGAGGCTAAATCCTCTTTTTAAGAGGATTTCTCCTTTTGGGCGGGCGCGAGCGGCTCTGCATGCGCAAGTCTTCAGTGACCGGCAGGAGGAAGCGCTCCCTCCTGCCAGGCCACCTTCTGGACCCCCCGGCATGGCAGCGTTCTAATCAGTCGCGGCGAGGGAGCTCTAACCTCTCTGCTCTGCTCCCTCGCGCGATGTTTGCTGATGCCGCGGGAGCCGGAATATGATGTCATATTCCGGCTCCCGGCATCCGTAGACAGTCCGCGAGGGAGCAGAGCAGAGAGGTTAGAGCTCCCTCGCTGCGTCTGATTAGCCGCCCGCCTAAGTGAAGCCCCACTGGACCCCAGGGACAGATCCACACCAGCTCTCCAGGTAGGGAGGCTGGGTGGATATTTAATATTAATAATTTGTGTGTACATGTGTTTGTCTCTAAGTGTATGTGTGTGTGTCTGTAAGTGTATGTGTGTGTGTCTGTAAGTGTATGTGTGTGTGTCTGTAAGTGTATGTGTGTGTCTGTGTCTGTAAGTGTATGTGTGTGTCTGTGTCTGTAAGTGTATGTGTCTGTCTGTAAGTGTATGTGTCTGTCTGTAAGTGTATGTGTCTGTCTGTAAGTGTATGTGTGTGTGTCAGTAAGTGTGTGTGTGTCTGTGGGTCTGTCTGTGCATGTGTGAGTGTCTGTAAGTGCATGTGTGAGTATGTGTATATTTGTGTGTATGTGTTTCAATGTGAGTGTGTGTGTGTGTGTGTATGTGTTTGCCTGTGAGCAGAGTACTTGTAGAATAGAAGAAAGAAGGTGCAGAGTACTTGTAGAATAGGAGAAAGAAGGAGTAGAGTACTTCTAGTATAGGGGAAAGAAGGAGTAGAGTACTTCTAGTATAGGGGAAAGAAGGAGTAGAGTACTTCTAGTATAGGGGAAAGAAGGAGTAGAGTACTTCTAGTATAGAGGAAAGAAGGAGTAGAGTACTTGTAAAAAAGGAGAAGGAAAGAAAAGGAAAAGGAGAGAATTGTTGTTGACTAATAATAGTAAGTGGGCTACCTAGCTCAGCCTTCCTACTGGGCATTGCTATAAGGAAGGTTAAAAAATAGAAAAAAGGGGAAAAAGGTGGGAAGGGGAATTGAGGAGGGAGAGGAGGGGAGCTGACGCACAGATGAGAAATCATTTTATGAGCAAACAAAGAAGTCTTCCGATTATCACTGAAAGAGGAGACCTTCGTTTGTTCCTTATGAAAATCGAACCAGATATCAAATATTTAGTCTCGCAGCATCAACCTCAAGGATCTCATTAATCACTAGTAAAGGTAAGTTCAATTTACTTTATTGCTTCCTCATTAAACTTTATAAAGTTAAAAACATTATAAACATGCATAAAGTAGAAATAAAAAGATAAATGTACGTTCATTTATGTATTTTTTAAAACACCCTCCTTTCTAAAAAATATTCCGCGCTTGCGCGAAAACTGGTGGGCGGTAAGGAAATTTTTCCATCAAGAAAGATGCATTAGTGGGCGGTAAGTGGAAAAAGGTTGACTACCACTGGTTTAGTGTGTGTACTTTTACAATTTCATTTCTCATTCTCTATTAATTGAACCTAAATAGCACACACAATGCAGCTGCAAGTTTTAGCATGCCATTTCCAGAGCATGAAATTAGAACTTACAAATTAAGCACCCTTTACAATTAGCTAAACTTTTTAGCTGTTAGTGTCCCTTTAAACATAACTTAAACTGATGTAAAAATCACTTTTGGATAAGTTCAGTATATGTGTAAAGCTTATAGAATATTCATGTTCAGTTCCTGCTAATAGTACAGAAACGATCAATTTGAAAGCAGTCGATGGAAATATCAATACATTAGTATCTGTGCATCTTTTAATCATTCACCCTTCCTGTATTCTTAAAGGGATACTATAGTGCCAGGAATACAAAGCTGTATTCCTGGCACTATAGTTCCCTTTGCCCCCTCCCCCCTTCCCGTGCCATGGTAAATAACATGTAAAAAACCCTTTATTTACTTACCCGATCACAGAGCCGATGTCCATTGGTGCTGGGTCGCGGTTCCGTTTCCTCCAACGTCGCTCCACGAGGGGGCGCTAATGCCGCCTGAGTGCATTAGGCCCTGCCCATAGGAAAGCATTGAATCAATGGGGAAATAGCTGACGATGGATGTCCTCATGCAGAGCGTGAGGACGTCCAGTGTCAGTTACTGGACAAAAAGTCTGGTAGCATTCCGGAAGCGCCACCAGAGGTGTTTAAGCAGTATCAATAGTGTAAAACAATATGAAACCATTGCTGGCCATTGAATTCTTATAGTTTCATACATTAAGCTGATATGTCTATTAATAAAGAGTGTGAAAAAGTCATGTTTTAAGATTTTTAGACATTTCTTTACCAGGTTATAGCAACATTTTGTCCTGGGACTTTATTAATGACTGACATCTGAAATGTGCCATTTATCAAGATTGATAAAGATTCATAAGGGTTAACACATTGCCATGTTTGTGATATTTTGAAACGAAAGTCTACCAAAAATCCTGCACCATTGTTAGTCTTAATCCTTCATCCTGGCTTCGTAATAAAAGCTATATAGTGATGTGCAATTTAGTGAAACATACTGTGGATTCACTTGACATCCTATCCTCTAAAAGTAGTAATTTTGTTAATGTGTTCATTTTCAGGATGCTTGGAGCATGATCCCTCTACTGTTACAGATGAGTGTAGTCCAGAGGAATTGGCGCAAGTATTTGTTGCAGATGATGATTGCGAAGCTGATGTTGTTCCACCATCTCCCACACACACTCTTGTGTCATCTCCCCCTGTTTGTATTGGGTAAGCAAATGAACAAGTTTAAATAGCTCTAATAAAACTATGTGAGTTGAAATGCTATGAGCATGTTTTCAAGCATGAATAACACAGCAGACACATCGAGAAGGTGTATTTGAATCATTATCATCCTTGGTAAAATATATTACGGAGGTGTTTGATTATCTGATAACTTTGCAAGTACTTTTATGTGTATGTATATTTTGTTTTCTGTTTTTCTCCCTTAGTACACTAAAGAAAAAGACAGTGTCTTCTGATACTATGCATGTAGTAGATCAACAGAAAGAACATGGCCACAGCACTTTTCAAGGTAAGACAGGAAATGGATTACATTCCCAGTGCTACTCCCCCAGAAAAAGAAAAGACAAGTGGTTCTTCATTAACGTTTCCACTATTTTGGTAGTTGCAATAATCGGACATTTATTAACAAAAATGTAGTCTGCACATGACATTGATAAAGAAGCTTTAAGTGACACTATAGTCACCAGAACAACTGTAGCTTACTACATTTTTTTTCTGGTGAGTATAATTATTCCCTTTAGGCTTTTTGCTGTGAACACTGTCTTTTCAGAGATAATGTAGTATTTACATTACAGCCTAGGGATAACTCCACTGGCCACTCCTCATATGGCTGCTAGAGGTGCTTCCCGGGGCAGTGCTGCACAGTGAGCAGCACTGCCATTCAGTGTCTCCACCCTCTGCATGCAGACACTGAACTTTTCTCACAGACATTGATTCAATGCATCTATGAGGAGATGCTAGTTGGCCAGGGCTATGTTTGGCTTGTGCTGGCTCTGCCCGTGATCTGCCTCCTTGACAGTCTCAGCCAATCTAATGGGGAAGCATTGTGATTGGCTCAGACCACCACTTCTGATAATGACAGCAGGCAGTTTCAGAGGCAGTCAGGGGCAGAGCCAGCAGCGGCAGACTTGAATACAAGTAAGATTTTACTATTGTTTTTGTGAAGAGGAGGCCAGAGTGGCTAGATGGTGACCCTATAGTGTTCCTTTATCTCCTGGATACTGCTGAAGACCTTTCTGCTGAAGAAGTAGGCATTAATCAGATTTTATTAACATAATAACATGATGAGATGTTTTTTGCCTCTCTTTCAGTTCGGCACAATGTTTCTCCTCAACTCTGGGCTGTGATGTTGGAGATATGTGACCTAGTTGATACTATTCCACTATCAGAAATGAGTGCTCTTTCTTGTGGAAAGAATCTGCAGAAACAGAGGGATAAACGGTGTGTATAATACATTTTATTGCCAAAAGTCAAAGTGACACAGCACATGTTTTAAAGATAACCTGTCATGAAAAAAACAAAAAACTAAATGAACTAATTTAAAAGACCTTGTAATTCCATTTGGGGGTGGGGGGAGGGAACGATTTTAAAACATTTTTTCCCATACTATTTTATTCTCGTGCAATTTATTTCTAATTTTATTTGTATAATAAAAACAAGAATTAGGAAACAATTTTGTTTTCAAAATTTTGAAGTATTTTTTAAAAATTCCTATTACTTAATGATTTATTTTGTGATACTTTTTCCCAGCATCATAACATTTTCCTTTTTTTTTCTTACTCCTTTTAATCATATACTTCTCATTTCTACAGGAAACTTGTTTTGTCCTCAGCTGATTCTGTTTTTAAATCTCCTGCTGTAGAAAGCTCCTATCCATCATCCCCAAAATGTAAGGTATCTTCAGACACTTCAGTTTCGTTGTCCAGTATTCATAAAGACAGTTCATCAAAGGGAACAGTAGGGCAGCTATTTAAGTTCTTTTCCACAAGCCAGCCAAGCAAAAACAAAGTTGGGCAAGTCAATACTTCTCATCCAAAGGAATGTGAGACATCCATCTCCTTCCAAGCAGGAGATGTCAGAACAAAGGATTCCTTCAAATTCCCAGATTTTGATCTCCGTGATAACACATGTAAGACACCAATAAATGATAAACCGAGCAACATTGGAACACGTGCAAGACCAGCCATTTCTCCCTTACGACCACTAGACAATTGTGAACTTGATTTTGATATTGATAACTTTGACATTGATGACTTTGATGAAGATGTCCTATGCATAGAAAGCTCAACAGCAACTCCTGCTGGTCATGCTCTTGCCTCACAGCACCCTCCAATAAAAAAGGCACAAGCAGATACAATAAACAAGCCTGGAACTTTATCTGTAAAACCTTTGGACACACCTTCCCTCTCCAGACTTTCAGGTCAGTTTTCAGGTCTAGGTATTCTATATTTCATATCATTATTTTAATAACAGCAACAGCAGTGATATAATTTAGTGGCAAGTACACCAACCAGATGAAGGGAAACATAAAATGTTTGTTAAAAAATAATTTTGCCTTCATTTTGTTTCTTTAGAAAGAAATCATATTAACCTATATATATATATCTATATCTCATGTATAGGTTGTACTAGTAGAACTTCTAACAAAAGCACAGATTTTCTTAAAAGATGTGCCAAATAGTGTAAAATTGCAATGTCTATTGCTCATGATATAAATTATGAGTATCTCTGGATCATTTTGTGTGTGTATAGTACACACAAAAGTACACTAATATTTTCTGTAGTTCAGTGTAAATACACAATCTGTTGAATTGTTGTTGGTATCATCGTAGAAGAAATCAAAAGCATTAGGCTTTGTTTTTTTTTCCCTCCACTTCCATACTAGCCCGCTTAACAGATGGATGATATCTATTTATGGATAATTTTATTTAAAGAGTGTATTGTGCGTATAATCTAACAAATCCTAGTACAATTGTGCTATAGCCACTATAAATGCAATTTGCATCTGATGTTTCTAATTGATAGATCGGGTAGTGATAATGAATAGCTCTCTCTCTTAAATTGTGAGCTTTCATAATTTACCCCTAATGAAGGGTAATGTAACATCTGACACGCTCCCCACCTTCCCCATTTTTCAAACGGCGTGACACTTACCTGGGTCACCTGAGTGCCATTTGTCTGGCCTCTCCTAATATGACTAAATCGAAGTTCCCCATCTGCAAAAGATATATCAATATTGATTTATTTTGGACAGCAATCCTTGCCTGAGAGTATCTGCTGAGTGATTTAAACTTAATCTGGTGATAGATCATGATGAAATCATTGCAAGGTACACTATGTATTTCCAATAGTATATAACCAAATCAGTTTTACATATGCCCCTCTCTTCTACACTCTCCCCTTCTCTCATCTCATGCCTTGCACTCATTTTTCTACTCTCTCACTCCTACACACAATCGATCTCATCCTAGACCCCATACATACAAAACCCATTTACATCTCCTGTCACTTTCTCTCCTCCTGCTTATAGCAGCTGGTGATATCTCTCCCAATCCAGGGCCCTTCACCTTCTCTCCACATACTAAGAAAACCAGAAACCCCACAAACCTCATCACAATACCCTGCCCTTTGCCCTCACTTACCAACATTCAGTGTGCACTCTGGAACTCCCTGTGTCTGCAGTCCCGTTTTTTGCTCTCCGTAAGTTTAAAGGGTAATGCAGACGTGGACTCCTTGCTCACGGTGCCTAGAGAGATATCAGCTATGCCTCACTGATGATGCCTAACAAGGCTGAAACGATCGTCTGGGGTTGCTGTATCTCTCTTGCAGAGAGAACTTGCTGGCATTTCGGATCTGGACTGCCCGTATGGGTGGGACCAGTCTGATATGCTTCAGATATGTTCTCTCTGTAAGATGAGCTAAAACCAGCTTGAGTTCTGAGCGGGGACCCACTGAAGGGCAGGCTATTTTAGCTGCTGTCCGTTGTCAGAATACTCTTGCGACCCGTTTTTTGCTCTCCAAAATCAACAGCCATACACGACTTTTTCATCTCAAACTCGCACTATTTGCACTTACAGAGACATGGCTGTCCCCCTCTGATAGCGCTACGCCTGCCTCTTTATATTTTGTTGGGTTACAATTCTCTCACACTCCCAGACTCAACTGTAAAGGAGGTGGTGTAGGCATCCTTCTCTTCCATCAATGTACATTTCAACCAATCATAACTGCCTCTGCCCTGAAGTTTACACTGTCTGCCTATTTAAATCCACTTCTTTAAGAATTGCTATCATCTACTGCTCCCTGGTCATCCTAGGCTATTTATTGAGCACTTTTTTTCCCTGGTTTCCCCACTTCCTCTTATCTAGCACTCCTTCCCTTATACTTGGGGATTTAAATATCCCAACTGCACTGATTCCTCTCGTCTGCTCTCTGTAACCTCCACCTTTGGCCTCACGCAATGTTCCAATTTAGCAACCCATATAGCGGGAAACACTCCAATCTCTGTACTGCCTCTAATCTCTCCAATATTAATTTTTCTGTATTTGATCACCATCTGCTGACTTCTAGCATCGGCATACCCAAGACCCAATTGACACCACCGTCTGAACATCAATCTCACAGAAACCTCCAATGTCTTGACCTAGAGCTTTTTTCCACCAATCTCCAAACTCTCCTTTTACCTATCTCAAACATCACCTGTCCTAGCTCTGCAACCTCCTTCTACAATTCCACCCTCTCCTGTCAACTAGACATCATGGCACCTCCTACATTTAAACTCAGCAAGTGCCCCCAACAACAACCTTGGCACACCAAGCTGACTCGATACCTCCAAAAATGCTCCAGAACTGCTGAACGCTATTGGAGAAAGTCTCACTGTGCATCTGACTTTCTTCACTATAAATTTATGCTGTGCTCATACAGCTTGGCTCTTTCCTCTGCAAAAGTAAATTACTTCAATACCCACTTCACTGACATGATCTCTACAATCAGGATCAAGAGATCTCTTATCTTTCTTCTTCCTCTAACCTCACTCCCTCTGCTGTTCTATGTTCATTCGCACCCGCTACAGCGGAAGAGGTTTCTGCTCTGCTCCAGTCCTCCCGCCCCACCATCTGCTCTCTAGATCCAATTCCCTCGCATCTCATCCATACTCTGTCTTCTTCTCTTTCTCTACCTTTCACTAAAATTCTCAATCTCTCTCTCTCCTCTGGCATATTTCCATCGCCCTTCAAACATGCAACTGTAACCCCAATTCTAAAGAAGCCCAACCTTGACCCTAACTCCCCGTCCAACTACCGTCCTATCTCGCTACTGCATTTTGCGTCCAAGATCCTTGCAAGAGTTGTGTATGCAAGATTGACATATTTTCTCAAGTCCATCTCTCTGCTAGACCCGCTTCAGTCTGGTTTCCGTGCTAAGCACTCTGTGGAAACGGCACTGACCAAAGTATCCAATGATCTACTCGCTGCAATATCTCGTGGTCACTACTCTTTCCTAATTCTCCTTGACCTTTCTGCGCCTTTTGACACTGTTGATCATCAACAACTTCTTCTCATTCTCTGCAATATCGGTCTACAAGATATTGCTCTCTCCTGGTGCTCCTCCTACCTCTCCCAGCGCTCTTTCAGTTTCCTTCTCTGGCTCTGCTTCTTCTCCCCAACTCCTCTCTGTTGGTGTCACCCAAGATTCAGTCCTTGGTCCCCTACAGTTCTCTATCTATACTGCCTCCCTTGGTAAACTCATTAGCTCCTTTGACTTCCAATATAATTTCTATGCGGATGACACGCAAATCTGTCTGTCCTCTCCTGATCTCTCCCTGTCCCTCTTGACTAGTGTCTCTGACTTCCTATTTGCTATTTATAACTGGATGGCTGCCAACTTCCTTAAACTTAACTTGACCAAAACTGAAATTCTGGTCTTTCCTCCCTCAAGTGTTGCTACTCCTGTATCTGTCTCCCCCCCAAGTCAACGGTGCTACCATCAGCTCCACCACACAAGCTCGCTGCCTAGGTGTTCTCTTTGACTTCGACCTCTCCTTCACGCCTCATGTTCAGTCTATCGCCAAATCCTGCCGCTTCCATCTCAAAAACATTGTGCGCATCAGGCCTTACTTAACGCCAGATGCTATTACAGTGCTGGTCCATTCCACTGTCCTTTCTCGCCTTGATTACTGTAATCCGCTTCTCAGTGGTCTTACGTTCTCCCAACTTGCGCTGTTACAGTCCATAATGAATGCGGCGGCTAGGCTTGTTTTCCTGTCCACCCGCACTTGCCATGCCTCACCCTTCTGTCAGTCCCTACATTAGCTTACTGTAAGATATATATTTAAAATTCTGTTTCTTGCTTTCAAATCTCTACATAACGCTGCTCACACCTGTCTATCCTCACTGATACACAAGTATGTCCCGTCTAGGCCCTTACGCTCTACTGAAGACTTATGCATATCTTCTATCCGTACTCCCACCTCTGATGCTCGCCTTCAAGACTTCTCGAGGGCTGCACCGTTCATGTGGAACTCACTACCCTCTTCTGTTAGCTGCTCACCCAGTCTCCACTCCTTCAAAAAATCATTTAAAACCCACTTCTTCATAAAAGTGTATCAATTAAACTGTTAATAGCTCCTGACTGATTCCTCTTTTGCAACTGTCATTAGTCTAATACTATCCTTACCTTTTGTGTTTCTTTACCCCACTCACTCTAGCATGTAAGCTTGTTGAGCAGGGCCCTCAAACCCTCTATTCCTGTGTGTCCAACTTATCTGGTTACAACTACATGTTTGTTCGTCCACCCAGTGTAAAGCGCTGCGGAATTTGTTGGCGCTATATAAATAATAAAATAAATAAACTAATGTTAAACTAATCTGAAAATATATTATTCTATCTTAAAATAACAGCCAGCAATAATGAGTCTTTAGGTTTAACAATCATGATTTAAATCAAGTCTTACTGACTAGTGATTTAAATTGACTTGATTTTAATCAAATCCACCCTGTACACTCATCATGCAAAACCAAAGACAGGCCATAATTTGACCATAAAGTACAACTACTGGTTCACAAAAGGCTTGTACAAAACCACAGAACGTGTAACTTGGCATGACTAGTGAACGCCTTCAACTGCCTATTTATTACCACTCTTTTCCTCAGTACAAAAGAAATTGCATTTGAAGTGATGCAAGTAACAATAACACTGGTAAACATTTGTCTGATGGATGTTTCCAGCAAGATACTGCCATTGTCACAAGGCTAAGATGTCTGAAAATTGACATCTATGACTGCAAATTCAGCTTGCTGCACTGAACTGCCCTGTAACTAAATTTCAGTCTAATCAAGGTTTTGTGACATGAGGTAATTTTTTTTATAGCTCTGTTTTTTCTAATCTGCTTTAGGTAAGTTGGCAGCTATAACTGCCCAACTTACTCAAATACATCTTATTGATCATGGAAGAATAAGTGACTGAGTCAGTAATTTCAAGAATTAAACCTTCACCCAAGAGGTTTGAACTGGCAAAATTAGAATAGTGGTTAATCACCATCCAATTTGGCACAGATGAGGGAAGCCCTGAAATGGAGATCGGCCAGCATCATTGTGGAATGCTTTGAATGATTTATTTGAGTGCAGATAAAGCTTTTCTAAGGGGTTGCTATTTATATCTGTAATTGCCAATAAGAGTTGTAATAAACGGTCTAATATATTTGTCTGTACTCTAGTAGGATCTTAAGCAGTAGCTCTACGCATAATGCAACTCTAGCTTGTTACACTAGAATGCAAATAAATACAGAGAATGTGATTCCTTCATTTAATTTGCATATAAATATACAGAAATATTTCTTCCATAGGGGTAAAATATATGTCGCCTGAGGTGCTATTGTGATTTACACTTAGGCTAACAATTAGCATGTTGTGATTTAATCTTTTCATTAGATTCTCTACTAAAGACAGAAGTGAAGAACTCTGCTCATGAACGTTTTAAAGGATTCAACTTTCCTCATTCCAAGGAAATGATGAAGATTTTCCACAAGAAATTTGGGTTGCATCGTTTCCGTACTAACCAGCTTGAGGCCATCAATGCGTGTTTGTGTGGAGAGGATTGCTTTATTCTTATGCCGACAGGTAAGCAATCTTCTACATGTCAAAACTGTTCTGATGTCTCTCACAAAAGAATAGTGAATACTTTGGTCATTCTGCTGTATGGTATATTGGCTGTGCCTAAATTAAATAGATACTATAGTCACCAGAAAAACTACAGCTTAATGTAGATGTTCTGATGAGTATAGTCAGTCCTGACAGGCCTTTTGTTGTAAGCACTGTTTCTTCAGAGAAAATGCAGTGTTTACATTACAGCCTAGAAACACACCTAGTGGCCACTCCTCAGACGGTCACTAGAGGTGCTTCCTGGAGCAGTACTGCACCACTAACATTGGGGGCAGAGCCTGCACTGGCTGACCTTCGCAGCTTTGGAAATAAGGTGTGTTTTTCTATATTTAAGCGGGGACCTAAATAGTTATTTTAACACTATAGGGTCAGGAATACACGCTTCTGTTCCAAACTCTATAGTGTTCCTTTAATGAGTAAAATACATTTATTTGTACTTGTTGTAATTTTTAATTTTCTTAATATAATCCATGGCATCATATACAGCTGGGTTCCTACTTAATTTATTTCAGTTATGGCTGGAAAGGAAATATTTAACTCACCTCCCTGTGGTTTTCATTCTACTTTCTTAATCTCCAAAAACACATGCACATTTCCTCTTATTACTGGCTACCAATAGTAGCATATTCAATTTGGTGGTACCGCAGCAACAAACAATAAAGCAGGAAATAGGAGATAAGGCAAATAGAACACTGGAGATTGTTTCAAATAATATATAGACAGAATCTAAAGCACACAGAAAGCAACTAATGGTATGCAATCAAATTTCAGGACATTAAAGCATGTCTTCTTATAGAGACTGAACAGGGAGCAACTGATCTACCTATGATTCTAAGATTCATGGTAGAAGGCTGAATGCACAATCAAATGCAGGGCTGCCTTAAGGGAATTTGTGCCTGGCAGCGGTGTATCTCTACCAGTAGGAGAGCCAGACTGGACCACACAGCAATGCCTTACCAGGACTGGCTGCAGCTCACTGGTGACAACTGCTCCTCCTGATGCTCTGGTCTAATCATAACCTGGCAGCCAACATGCTGTTAATGGACAGAAATAGTTTGGGACATGCATTGTGTCCAGGGTATGTGTGTATCACAACCACACACAGCCAGCACACACAACAAACACGTCACATACAGCCAGCACAAACCACAAACACTAATATGCAGTCAGCACACACGATACACATTCAACACACACACTTTGAAACAGGGGGAGACTATGGGAGGACTGTGCGTGAGACACTAGGGTTAGTCACAAGTCTCAGAATTTATGCACATGGAAACTGAGGCAAAAATAGCTGTTTTGTGACTCTAGCAGAGATACATTTTCCACATCATAAAGCTCAGAAGTCAGAAAAAAGCCCTGTCATTGCACCAGGCTCTTGGCAGGGGCTCCACTCTTTAAATTGAAATTATTTTGTGTCAGGATAACTAAATTGTAATGACAGGCAAGTAGCTTGGGCTACCACTTTAGTATTTGGAAAAATAAGATCTTGGCCTGTTAAAGAAGGCTCCTTTCACCTGCTGTTGAATAGCACAGCAAATCCCCCACCCCATGTGAGGGGATCATTCTATAGAATTTTATCATAGTCTAAAGGGAAGCGTATGCCTTGCTCACTGTAAGTATAGATATTTCAACTGTACCTCTCTGAAGCCTATGAGGGGCTGAAACAATTGTCTAAAGTATCCGTATGTCTCATGCCAAGTAGACCTATCTGACATCTGCTTTGTTAGAATGTTGATAATTTTTTTTTACAAAAACAGCATTTGAATGAGCTCCTGACTTTCTAACCAGCAATGCACAGAGTTTTTGACTATCATGTGACACGCTGTCCTTATTCCAGGTGGTGGGAAGAGTCTATGTTACCAGCTGCCAGGCTGTGTATCCCCTGGAGTTACCATAGTGATCTCCCCCCTCCGTTCACTGATAGTGGATCAGGTTCAAAAACTAACCTCTCTGGATGTAAGTAATGTCATTCTATACAAAGTTCATATGTATACACTGATCAGACACAACATTAAAACTACTGACATGTGAATTGAATAACATTGGTTATATCATTATAAAGGCACCTGTCAAGATGTGGGATATATTAGGCAGCAAGTGAACAGTCATTTATTGAATGTCATGTTTTGGAAGTAGAAAAATGGGCAAGCGAAAAGATCTGAGTGACTATGACAAGGACCAAATAGTGATGGCTAGACTACTAGATCAGATCATCTCCAAAATAGCAAGTCTTGTGGAATGTACCTGGTATGCAGTGGTTAGTACCTAGCAAAAGTGGTTCAAGAAAGGACAACTGGTGAACCAGTGGCAGGGTCATGGGCACACAAGGTTTACTAATGCACATTAAGAGAAAAGGCTAGCCCATCTGGTCCCATCACACAGAAGAGCTACTATAGCTCAAACTGCTCTGAAAAGCAGCACTGTCATGGACGAATTCAGTTGTTTTTTAACCCCACTCCCGACTCAACTTCATCTAATTGTCCCCCTACTCACTCCGAAATGCCTCTAGTCCCCCCATATTACATATTTTTTTTATCTTCATTTCATGCCCAGACCTAGGTCCTGGGCGCCGCCATCTTTGTGTGGACAGATGAAGTCCCTGTGGGACACATCATCTGCCCACACTAGATAGTGCAGTGAAATTTCCGTGCATGCCCTGTTAAACACATGGGCATTCGCTATTGTCCGAATATTGGTGTTCGTTTATTTGTTCGCTCAGTTTATTGCAAGGAGGGAACTACCGGCGCAACTCCATCCTTGTAATATGTAAAAATAGAAGGGGCAACAACTGATCAACCTTTTGTTCACCTGTGGTTTAGAGCACTGGCGTCTAACTTTGGCCCTATAGATTGTTGCTGGGCTACAACTCTCTTAATTCTCTGCAAGTGTTCTCAGAAACTTCATGGCCTTGTCACGATATTTGATGTAAATACATGAAGATGGGGTATAGTATAAATTGTGCTCATACTTGATGTTGGCATTTGAACTCCAAAGCTAAAGATAATTTTTCTTTTGTAGATTCCTGCTACGTATCTCACAGGGGATAAGACGGACGCAGAAGCTGCTAGCATTTACTTGCAACTTTCTAAGAAAGATCCCATTATAAAACTTTTATATGTTACCCCAGAGAAGGTAATTATGTGTCTAATATCTTGCAGTGAGCAGCATGGCGTCTTGCAGGGATGGTTTACATGTCCCTTATTTGTCTGATGTTTTCTTTGGGTTCATAGGTATGTGCAAGCACAAGACTTATCTCTACAATGCAAAATCTATACGAGCGTCAGTTGCTGTCCCGTTTTGTCATTGATGAGGCTCATTGTGTCAGTCAGGTAAGTCTAGTGTAGAGTCCTATATTGTGAATTCACTTTCTACATTATCGGCTGCTTTTATTTGTAATATTGATTCCTTGTGTCTTAGTGGGGACATGACTTCCGCCCGGACTACAAGCGACTAAATATGTTAAGGCAGAAATTCCCTTCCACGGCAATAATGGCTCTTACAGCCACTGCCAATCCCCGGGTACAGAAGGATATCCTGAACCAGTTAAAGATGACCAGGCCTCAGATGTAAGTGGGACCTTGTTACTGTGCAAATAACTATGTAACCAAATAAAGTTTAATTTTAAAAAATCCACATGGATTATACAGGACTTTTTTCAAGGTAGTGAAATGGGAGTCATAGCTTCACTTGGACCAATTAAAATACTATTGTAGAATGATATACTAAGACAGAGCTTGATGGGAGCCAGATAAAAAAAAGTTAGGAGCAAGGTTTGTTTAAGAAAAGCTAGAAAAGCTTTGTTTTCAGCAACAAAATTACAATTTTTAAAGGGACACTATAGTCACCAGGACCACTACAGCTAAATGTAGTGGTTGTGGTATCTATAGCCTGTTCCTGTAGGCTTTTCAGTATAAACACTGCCTTTGCAGAGAAAAGTCAGTATTTACATTGCTGCCTAGTAACACCTCTGATGACATTCACTCAGACAGCCACTTGGAGTTGCTGAATATTCCCCACAGTGATACATTGATTTAATGCATCTCTATGAGGAGATGCTGATTAGTGCAGCATGGCATTTTGCAGTGCATGCACCATAGCCTCCCAATGCTTTCCTATATGAAATTTTGGATTAGCTGAGATTATGGAACCATGGAGACGAGGCCAGATGCTACAAGACAGACACTTTTCCCATGCGATCGGAGGGAGGCTGGTCACCTAAACAGAAACGCTGACATTGATACAGACAGACAGATCACACACACACACACACACACTATATATATATATATATATATATATATATATATATATATATATATATATTTTAAATTTATGCCCACCTTTGGGAGCGCTAGAGTGGAGTCCAGAGTGTCTGCTGTCATATTAAAGATCTTCTTGCTCTGCTAATTAACACGCTTAGTGATGCCAGGGCCTAATTGACATAATATCCCGGCATCACTGCAGGGCGCGAGAGGGAGCAGAGCAGGAAGATCACTGTTACCCTGCTGCTCATCTGCATGCTCCCTCGGTCAGCTGCCTTCATTCTCTCAGAGCCGGCCATCTGCCTTCATTCTCTACCAGCTGCCCTCCTCGTAGGGAACGGTTTCACAAACCCCAGGCACATGGACAGAATTCTTTTAAGTTAACATTATTCCAAAAATAAAAAATATTAAAAATAATATATAGTCATATATCACCAACAGTATTATACAAATTTGAAAGAAAACACAAAAAGAAATGGGAGATTACATATGAAGTAATTTGACTACACACCAGTAATCTGATGGCCATTTTTTCTGTTCCACTTACATTTGGGGATAAGTGAAAAGTCTGCTTTTTAAATATAAATACCAGTGATTGTAATGTAAGCAATGCTGACTAGTACTTGTAATCAAACCTTTTTTTAAATTACTTAAAGTAAAGCGCTTTACTGTCAACATTTCCAAGTAAATTACAAAAGATGAGACTTGTATATGGTAATTGATATTTTCTGAGAAAATAGAATTTAAAAGCTGTTTAAAATAAATTTCAAGTTTTAGGCAGAAACGGGAGCAATGCTGACTAAATGTTGTCAATTCAGTTGCTGTGGTCAACATTTCCAATATTTGGCCAGCTAAACAGCTGTGTGAGCATTAATAAAATTCTCAACAATGGCGGCAGATTATGCCAAAGGTTATGCATTAGTGACTCAGAGCGTAAATGAGCCGTCCTCGTTTCCGGATTTCAAGTATGTGTGTGTTTGTTTTTCTTCTAGATTTTCAATGAGCTTTAACAGGGACAATCTTAAATATGAAGTCTTGCCCAAAAAACCTAAGAAGGTGGCTCAGGACTGTGTAGAATGGATCAAGAAATACCATCCCAGTGAGTGACTGTGACTTAAGTCCTATAGTGTATTTTGGCTACTTTGGTTTGTGGCAGATGAAATATGCAAAGTACTGTAATATTATGTAATACTGAATGGATTTCCATAATATCAAAATGCCTTGTTTTGGCAAGGAAGATATTTGTTTTTATTGTTCTTATGGAAATAATAAAAGTTGTATACAAGGGAAGTAATAATGGCTTTCTATGCTTATTTTGTGTAGATGAGTCTGGAATAATTTATTGCCTGTCACGAAATGAGTGTGATACTATGGCTGACACCTTGCAAAAGGAAGGTTTGGCAGCCCTGGCATATCACGCTGGTCTCCAGAACCCGGACAGAGACTATGTGCAGCATAAGTGGATTAATCAGGATGACTGTAAGGTGGGTTTTTGGAAGGAATTCTGATATCCATACTGAAAACAAAGTATAACAACTAGAAATGATTACATTGTGCATTAATGACAAGTTTTAAGTTAAATCACTTTACATATATTATAGTTAATGTAGGTAGGTATCCTGTAAGCAGTTGAGTCTGAAAGAATTGTGACTACCCACACAGTCACAAAACAAACCTCGTAGCGTTCCATTCCTCCCTCCTATACTATATTTCGTTAGGGAGGAATGATGTGCAATAATAATCCTGGAGTTATATGATGTGTTTCTCTTAGTGGCCGGGCATCAGTGCTTTTTATGGTTTTTAGTTACTTACTTTTATATTTATTAGTGAGATTACACTTTTGATTACTATAGCTACCTATAAGATTAGTTTCCATACTGGATGCTGCAGTGTCTGCTGTGTCTCCCCTGTCATGGAAGCCATCCCAGGTACTATCCTTATGAACTGATAGCCCTGCCTTCTGATACAGAAACTTGACATTTGTTCATGGTCAATTCAATCAGGCCTGTATATAGCCTGGTACGTTATAAAGTAGGCACATTATAATGTTCAAGTTGACCTTCTGCTAGGAATTATTGCACCCCCATTACTGACATAAACAAATATATTTGTCGGAGACGTATTTAACATCCTCAATAATGTATCATGTTTCACCGGCAGGTGATCTGTGCAACTATTGCCTTTGGAATGGGTATTGATAAGCCAGATGTACGATATGTCATTCATGCCTCCCTACCCAAGTCTGTGGAAGGATATTATCAGGAGTCTGGAAGAGCTGGCCGAGACGGAGAGATGTCCCATTGCCTTCTGTTTTACAGCTACAATGATGTTACACGGATACGCCGAATGATACAGAGTGAATAAAATAAGCTTCCTTTCATTATGACCTGACTATGCTTATTATTTGTATCCAATTGTTTCCTGTTAAAATATTGCAGATTCTTAGTGAAAATATATGATGATGTGTTGGTGCAGAGTTTTGTGTATTATAATGTATAAATATAATTTGCCTATACAGCATATCACATCTCTTACCATTATTAGACACTTGTAGGTTGAGCTTATTTACACGTTGCCTCTTTGCAGGATATAGTCAGTGAATTTAAAGAGTCATCAGTGTCTCTGCACATTGGCTTGAGGAGTTTAAAGCCAATCTGGATAAAATAGTTTATTTTATGGTACGTGTCTTGATAATACAAATGTGAAATAAAACGAAGCATTACTGAACCCTTTTAATTACACGTTAGAACATTTTTAAGTCTGTATAATAAGTGTTGTATGAATTGTTTATATAACATTTCTCACAGTTCCTTTCTAATCACTCAGTTGTGCATGCCTATGGTGGGTGATGTATTATTTCTCATTTATTAACAGTGGAGAAGGATGGAAACAGCCAAACAAAGCAGACCCATTTTAACAATCTGTACAGCATGGTGCATTATTGTGAGAATGTGCAGGAGTGTCGGAGGCTGCAGCTTTTAGCTTACTTTGGAGAAACCAGCTTCAATCCAAACTTCTGTAAAGAGCACCCAAGGGTGGCATGTGACAACTGCAGCATGGCAAAGGTAAAACACAAGCGTTTTGACAGTGTCACTTTCATAAACATTTTATCCAAGATATAGTTACATAAAGATGTTCCTACTTCCATCATGGCTTTGCTGTGTTTACATCTGCAAATAGATAGAACATGGCATATCCAGCTGCTCCACCCACAGGCTGGATTTATGTGCTTACTAATTGTTTAATGCCATATGTGTCATTTAGGGTCAGGTAGCTGCACGCTTGGTTGATGTAAAGATTAAACACAGGAACAACAAATTTTGTTGCGAATATAATCGAGTCTATGGGGGAGATTTATCAAAGTGTTCTGCTCTAAGATGGTTATGTAACCATGGAACCCAGTGGAATCAGCAGGCACATTTCAACAGGACTCCTCCCTTTAACATTTTTGCACCACTTTGATAACTCTCCACCTATGTGTTTTAATGCAATATGGTTAACATTACTGTTCTGTATAAAGTTCCACTGTATATTTGTTTTTCTTCTTCAGTTGAATAAATGCTTCAAATATGTCACTCTTGAGAGTTTAACAGTTATTTTAACTTTGAAAAAACACATGTACTTATAATTTTCAACCCTGCAAAGAAACACCTAGAGTGTCATTTTTGTTCTATACATAATATTGAGGAATGGACATTAATTATTCAAAGCATCTGGAGAAATAACAGGTGAAAATTGCTAGCATTAATTTTACTATTTTGCATTTTTTACTTTGCTTGTAAGATTTTATTTTAACAAAAGGAGTGGTTTTGAATAATACAATTTCAAATATGCATTGCATTCATTCTATTTCTTTAACAGAATGTATTATATAAGTTCACCGAAGTTGGCTTTGACATCTACTCCTTTGAAAATGACCAGTTCACTTTTATATACATTTTAGTAGAATTTAAAATGAAACTATAGTGGTAGGAAAACAGTTCTTTTCCTGATACTACAGCTCCCTATAGTGCCTTCCTCTCTGTAGTGCAGAAGGGGTTAACAATGGCTGTGCTTACATTAGGACTTTCCCATAGGAAAGCATTATAGGGGGTTGCGTGTAATGCTGGATGTCCTTAAGCAGAGAATGAGAACCTTCAGCCTCCGTTAGGCAACCAAAAGTTGCCTAACGATCCGGAAGTCCCTCTAGTGGCCGTCTGGTTGAGAGCCACAAGAAGTAAAGTTAACCCACAAATGTAATTATTGCATTTTATTGAAAACCGCAAAAATTATCTTTGTAGGGTTAAGGGACCTGGGACACTGCACCCAGACCACTTCAATGAGCTGCAGTGGTCTGGGTGCCTATAGTGTCCCTTTAAGTGCAAATATTTCTATAAGTGTTTTGGTCTTATTTGTGGGGAGGGGGTGTGTTGTGTTTCTTGTCTTCCCCACTTATTGTATTTATTTTATTAAAACATTTTTTGTCTCTTCTTGTGCTGTTCAGGAATACAAATCCAGAGATGTGTCAGAAGATGTAAAGCCCATTATCAGGTTTGTCCAAACTCACTGCTCCTCTCTACAAGGTAGAGGCAGGAATGCTACCAACCGCTTGACCCTCAACATGATGGTGGATATATTTCTTGGTAAGTAACATAGAGTAAAGACAATGGTGAGCCACTTTTCAAAGGTTATGAATACTAGAAGCATTGATTTCCGTAGCCAAAATAGGCGTATTATTACGATCCTTTTCATTTAGGGTTATACATGAGAAATGCAAAGTTATGCACTTCGGGGCTAAGAATGCACAAGCAATTTACACCCTAAATGGTAATGAACTAGGGATAACCACACACAAGAAGGATTTGGGAATTGTTATAGGCAGCAGTATGCAATGTCAATCTGCAGTTGCTAAGGCCAGTAAGGTTTTGTCATGTATAAATAGGGGCATAAATTCTTGGGATGAAAATATAAGTTTGCCTCTTTATAAATCGCTGGTAAGACCACACCTTGAATAACTGTGCAATTTTGGGCACCTTTTCTAAAGAAAGATATCATGGCACTAAAAAAAGTGCAGAGACGAGCTACAAAATTGATAAAAGGAATGGGGCATTTTAGTTACGAAGAAAGGTTAAAAAATTGAAATCTGTTTAGTTTGGAAAAACGGCGCCTGAGAGGGGATATGATAAGATTATACAAATATATTCAGGGCCAGTACAAACCATTATCTGGAAATCTATTCATAAACAGGGCTATACATAGGACACACGGTCACACATTTAGGCTGGAGGAAAGAAGATTTCATCTATGGCAAATAAAATGTTTTTTAGCAATAAGGATTTTAAATTCTTTGCCTGAAGATGTGGTTTTGTCAGAGTCCATACGGATGTTTAAACTGCAATTGGATAAATACTTGCAAAAACATAACATACAGGGATATAATTTCTAATTAGTGGGGTAATAGCTGCTTGATCCAAGGAAATATCTGCCTGCTATTTTGGGGTCAAGGAGGAATTTTTTCCTAGTTTGTTGCAAAATTAGAAGTGCTTCAGACTAGGTTTTTTTGCCTTCTTTTGGATCAACAGCAAAACCTATGTGAGGAAGGCTGAACTTGATGGGCACAAGTCTCTTTTCAACTATGTAACATGCACACATACCAGCTACATTCCTACAGGACAGAATACGGACCGAGGATAGAATGAGAGGTCTTGTTTCTTAAATAAAGATAATGTGAATCGGCACCTTGACAGACCTTTAGTATTTCTCTACTATATTGAAATCACACAGTAAGCCCTGGAAGAACTAATGCATGTGTGGATTATCATGATAACAAGAGATTTGCTTAACCCTGATGTAGAAGGTATTAAAGGAAAAGGTGTAAAGTTTGTATCCAGCCTGAAGTATCTCTTCAGAGGGGTAGTGGTGGTTGCGTGTTTTTAAAATGTGATCGAATTGTAAGCAGAAAATAAAAAATGACACATTAATGGTAACTAATTATACAATAAATATGAACTTATCTTGTGATTTATGGTTATCAATAAGTATATGTGTTTTAACTATAAAACAACATGTGACTTGTTGCACAACAATTAGAGTGGAATACAAATAAGTAATATTGATTTGGGAGACCTTAATAGTTAGCGTTTCCCCTATTTTTTTTATCCATTTTTACACAGTAGTCTATTTTGTTTACAATATTTTAATGTTTCATAATATGAAAGCAAAACCTACAATATTTTATCAACAACAAGAAGTAAATATACCTTCAGTTAATAACAATTATGTGATTAACACAACTATACAAAACTTACACTTGCCTGAAGATGTTTGTGTGCCTTATGTAATTATCTCAAAATTAAAAAGGTTCTCTGCTTTGACTTTACCACAGGGAGTAAATCTGCAAAGATACAAACAGACCTCTTTGGCAAAGGAGCTGCCTATTCACGACACAATGCTGAGCGCTTGTTCCGTAAACTTGTTCTGGATAGAATCTTGGATGAAGAGCTGTTCATTACAGCACATGAACAGGCAGTGGCATATGTAAAAGTAGGAGAGCGGGCTCAGGCAGTACTGAATGGATTTAGTAAGGTGCATTTGATAAACCATGTAATATTTGTAACATAAAGATGCATTTGTCTTGTATTTTCTTAATAGGAGGGGGGAAAATGTGGTTAACATGTAAGGGGAATATGTATCTGGTAGAGTTCTAAAGAGGAAAGGGTGATAATGAAGAGATGAAAAAGTAGGAGGGGAGGGGAAAAGAAAGAAAAATGTTATTAATAAACGTGACGTCTGTGAATGAAGTGAGATAAATTGTTGAAAAAAGGAAGGGATAACAATTGGGGTGGGGTTTTTTTTTTTTTATTCTCTTTCCTTACTATGTGTAAATACCCTCAGACAATGTGTAACATTATTGCCTTGGCATGTAAAAATAAAAACAGAATAAATGAATTGATAAATAAGATGCATTTGATGGATTCCAAGGATGTCTGAGTTCAGAGGTAGAGAGGTAGACTGATCATGCTGAGCATAAATATTCACAGAGCTTTGTCATAGCACTGATTAATGTGAACTATTAACATTACCCTATCCCTTTGCTAGGTGGAGTTCCAAGACACAGAGAGTTCCAGCAGCTTACGTAAGCAAAAGTCCGTGGTTGTGGCAAACACATCTAAGAGGGAAGAAATGGTGAATAAATGCCAGGAAGAGGTTACTGAACTCTGTAAGCGTCTGGGCAAAATATTTGGAGTACATTACTTCAATATTTTCAACACGGCTACTATAAGGCGGATTGCAGGTACATGTCTCAAAATAAATGTGCTAGAAAGCCTTCCTGATTTTTTAGCAGATGTTAATATAGTGTGAAATACGTATACTGAAGGATTTTCACCCAATATTAGACCCAGCATTTCTTCCTCAACCCAGTATATTTCACTTCCCGATTCTCTATGGTCTGTAGTTCCAATAGAACAAAACATTGAAGTTACATTGTAATACTGCATTAGTTATATTATCTTAATTGTCATATCTGTATTATTTGGGGTATTTTGTTGAAATTTTAGATTTTATTTTTTTTATCGTAAGTTATCAGATAATGTTTTTGTAAAACAATAGCTACACATTTTAAACAGTCGGACCATGGTAAATATGTTGATGTAAAACAAGGCAATCTTAAAGGCTTATATCCTCAAATATGACAAAACGGATACTGTGCTTTAAATTTAATCATCCTGTCTAAAATTTTAGCCAAATATTGCTCATATGGGGAAGGTATGTACTAAGGGCCGGTGCAAGGATTTATGGCTGCACAGGCGAAGATCCATTTTTCTGCATTGCTCCCCTCCAGCCCCTTTGTGTCTCTTTCCAGATGCATACAGTATATTAAAATTATCCAACGCATCACGTCGACAGTATTTTGGTTATATTGTGTTATACTTTGTGTATTGCAGAGTCCTTATCTTCTGAGCCAGATGTGTTACTGCAGATTGATGGAGTTACAGAAGACAAACTGGAGAAATATGGAGCTGAGCTTGTGGAGGTTCTCCAGAAGTACTCTGAATGGACCCTTCCAGGTATAGTATTTTCCCTGCTTCTGGGTATATATTGTTTCAACTTGTGTAGAAAGCCAAGGGTGTAACTAAAGACCAAGAAATAGTCTAGTCAAGTATCCTAATCTCGCCACAAGTTGGGGACCTCGAGGCTGCAACATTGCAATTTTCTAAAACAATTTAACACATTAAAGTTAAAGATTATACTTTTCTCAATCTAAGTCACCCATTCTGTTTAGAAAGGAAATTTTAATAACTCTTAAGCAGGGGTAGGCAACATTTGGCACTCCAGATGTTGTGAACTACATCTCCCATAATATTGTTAAAGCATCAGGGGAGATGTAGACCACAACATCTGGAGTGTTGAAGTTTGCCTATACCAGCTCTACCGAATTGTAATAAGAAATTATGTTGCTTTTATTAAATGCAAAGGTGGTACATAATTGTATGAACTCCTGCATTAAAGTGTTTATTTGTGTGTGTGTGTGTATATATATATATATATATATATATATATATATATATATATATATAAATTAAAGGGGGTATTCTGACCTTATGAGTTGCATTGTTTTTCTGACCTTATGAGTTGCATTGTTTTTGTTTCTTCTGACTTACCAATCCAACTAGTATTATTACATTATGTGTCATTAAGCTTACATGACTATTGAATATTACTGTATGTATCACACTGATGGGAGGGTAGTACAATTATATATCTTTGTTGTACATTTAATTCAATGCGCTTCCTCTTTTTTGCAAATATAAGTTCTTAACAATCTGGTTATAAAAAAAGGAAGTAAAAACACGTTTGCATAAGACATTCATTGAAATTTTTCCTTCAGCTGAAGATATTCCCCAGAAGACAACACACAGCACGTCAAGGAGGGTTGAGAGTGATGATGATGGTGGAGGGAGAAGTGAAACTTCTTCATACTTCAACTCTAAAGGTACAAAGAGAAAGAATGCCCCATACGTTAGGAAGTCTAAGAAAAGAAAGACGGTAGGAGAGGGCCAACAGTCTCGAGCCAAAAGGTAAGCTAAACATTTGCTTATTCCTATGCTACCTCCCCGATGTCAGTAGTTGATACCTGAGGACTCCCCTCTATCAGCTGGAGACAGAATTTGTGGGCCCCATGCTGATCGATGAGCTGTATGCAGCTCGTACTGCTTTAAATTGGGACTTGGGAGTTGTTAAATACTTGCTCACATCAGGGAGAGCTGGTGTAAATGTATATCTCCACTCTGTTATCTGCAGCCCCTCAAAGTGAGTACTGCATTCCGGCCTTTAAATCAAATAAGAACAACGCAGCTGATCGCACTCAGCCACAGTGATTCTTTGTGTGCAGCTTGTTTGTGGGGACCACCAGGATCTTTCTACTAGCAACATACCTTTTTGATTGGTGCTGGGCTTTGCCAGTTGCATTGATTACAGAGTAATAGCATTGCATATTTTACATGGGGATCTCCCTTCATGTTGAGAAAAAAAAACACTAAATGGTGGGAACACACTAATCTTTACTCTTTTCACTTAGGACTCCATTCGCAAATATCTGTGCTGATATTAGCAGAGGGAAAACCTTGGGATTAGGATTAGGTTTCTGTTTAGGTTTAAAATTAGGATTCGGTTTATGATTATGGCCAGCAAGGGAAACCGACATCAACAGAGGGAATCCGTCAAACACTATTGCTTTGGTTTGAGTTAGAATTACTTTTAGGCATAGTGTTTAGGGTAGGGTTTAGGATTTGGTTTGGATTAAGATTGATACTTTGCAAAGGTATAAATATGGGATATGTTGTACTCAGGAGATATTACTGAGCACAGTTAAGAGAATGTACTACAATGGCACGCATGAGATTAAAAAAAAAAAAGCCGGGGGGCGGAGCCTGCGCCTGATCGAGCCGAACGTGTTCAAGTGCAGCCCCGAGAGCTTGTCCCGACTAACGCGGCTATCAGGGAAGAAGTCACCACACTTACCCGCTGAGTGCAAGCAGTGGAGGGAGACATGGGAGGCACCAAACTGGCACAATCTGCCACAGATGCTGCTCTTGGCTCAGTACAAAAGAAATGTGACGATCTGACCGCACAACTGGCAAACATGGAAGACAGGACTAAGGCACACAATGTGAGAATACGTGGCGTCCCTGACACCATTTCAAATGCTGAATTATCCCATTACTGCAGGCGGCTCATCGCCACACTCCTGCCGCCAAAACAGGCCAAACAGATGGTGGTAGATACCTGCATCCGGCTACCAAAGGCTACCACAGCACCCAAGGACGCGACTACAGATATATTGCTAAAATTTACAAAGGACTCAGACCAAGGGACCCTTATGGGTGCCGTTAAAAGCTCTCCCACTGTATCCTTTGAGGGAGTTCACCTAGCCTTTTACAGAGACCTCTCCAGAACTACCCTTGCCTGGCAAAGGGTGCTCAAACCAGTTACACAACTAAGGCAAGAACACTCCATCCCCTACAAGTGGGGCCAGCACCGCCTGATAGTGGAAACGAACGACAGGAAGCACCGACCTTCCTCCACTCCTTAGGTTTACCAACGGAGACGCGACACCATTTTGGACAGTGGAAAAAATTACTCCCTTTGTGCCCAGGAGGGCAGCACCGGAGACCACTGACTCTCCTACCTGATGTCTAGGGCGGCTTGTAGTATTGTCAAACGCATTATTGTTTTACCACTACATAATTAAACGTTAGACTATAAGTCTTCCACACACCCTGGCTCCACAAGCATCTAACTTGCACATTGATCTAGTTAGTAACCCCCCCTCCCCCCAACAAGCCAGTTTGACCGTGTTAAGTTGCCCCTTTACATATGTACATGCTTCAGCACACATTCAACCTAAGTCTTGAACCTTATTACATACCCTCCTGGCCGGAGTCGGCCACAGATATAAGTTCTGCTAAGCTTTTATACAAAACTAATAGCAAACCAGTGCCATATGCATAACATGCAGTCAGCACATTATTCTGTCAAGCCGCAGGCACACAAAGCCTTGTTCCTACCCCCCTGACTCACTGTTAGTTATTTACACTGACACGCAGGGACTTGCAAATGATATAAATATTTTTAAAAGGTTGTTTTTATACTTGTGGAGTGAACGTTGTACCACCCTGTATGCATTGATGATATACGCTTTACAGTTGTAATATTATACTTTGCCAACGCTGACCGCAAAAATAAAGAATTTTTTTTTTAAAAAGCAGCAAAAATACAATGTGTATGTAAAAAAATTATTACTACGAACTTTCAAAAATAAAATAAAAAATGGCACCTCAATAAAGCTCAAAATACACTATGTGAAAGTCAACTTGACGGATCTCTACATTTGCAAATGGTTTCCATTTATGGAGTAATTTAAATATATAAGATTCTAAAATGACTCATAATGCACCATAGACCCATCTTCCCAAAAAAAAAAAAAAAAAAAAGCATTGGGCAAGTTCTTTATTTTCTCAAAAACTTGACAAGGATTTGCGAAAGGGGGTCATTCTGTACTAAATATAAATTGGCACAATAAAGTGATTTTCATTACAGTAGCACCTATCAAGTTTACAAAATAAATCACTACATTGAAATGTGCCTGTATAAAAAAGCAAAAACAAAATAATGCCATGAACTTTGAAGACATTGGTGCTAAAATAGCTGTACAATATAGATCAAAAAATGCCATATGACATACCCGGTGGTGTCTACTTGTACAAATGGCATGCATTTATTGGCTAATTTGAACTGTCAGACTGGTCTAATCAAAATAAGACCATCAAAATCCTAGCTGTAATAGCTGGAAAAGTCAGGTCTCATATGGCACTGTAACTTCACAAGACTGTGGCAAAGACATACATTTGTAGCATGTTTGTATTCAAATTAATTGCAGGGCATATTTTGGGGGGTTTGATCAGTGGCACATACCAGATTTCTTTGCAAAATGCCTAGCAAAGAAATGTCTATGGGAAAAAATGTTTTACAGAAACTGGTGAAAAGATTGCAGTATGTTAAGGCACAATATACACCATTTGAGAGATCCTGTACTATCTACTTTCACAAATGATTGGCCTGAGTGAGTTAATTTAAACAAACTGCTATAGTGCGTCACAATGAGACATTGGCCCATCAAATCCGTCAAAATTCTATTTGTAAAACTCAAATGGTCAGGTCTCTTATATGGCATATAGCTTCACAGGATAGTGGCAAAAGCATACATTGATAGATAGCTGAACATAGCATAGGGATATGTACTGGAGTAGCAAACAGCATATTTACAAAATACACATTAATACTTGTTGTATGTATGCGTGTATGTTAAAAATCAGAGAGCAGCAGAGATTGGTAGTTAAATTGCTACTTAAGAAGTGTCAAACTACAGTCAGGTAAATAGTCTGATGTATACTATATATAAATATATTCTTTGTGTTTTCTGTGATGATTATTAAACTTAAAAGACAAACATTCCAAATTGTAAAATCTCCACATTTTATGACCTGTAACTAACAAAACACACTTAAATCCTAAACATATGATGTACTCTGTAAATCAGGACAAATAACTTAATTTACTTTGAAATAATTTTCTTAAGCTGCACTAAATATACAAATATTATTATTGCCAAAACTGTGAAAAAAAATTTTTTTTCTAAAATAAAGAAAATGTATATATGTGTATGTCATATCAAATGAAAGCCCTTTTTTATTATTTAAATGCTATATGATATGTTTGGTGCAATAAGTAAGAAATGTGGAAATTTCAGTTTGATACACACATAGCAAAAAATGTGCTTGTGTCCTTAAAGGGACACTATAGTCACCAAAACAACTTTAGCTTAATAATGCAGTTTTTGTGTATAGATCATGCCCAACTCACTGATATTTAGGAGTTACATCACTTTTGTTTCTCTTTATGCAGCCCTAGTCACACCTCCTCTGGCTGTGACGGACATCACCTGCATGAAAAGAAGTGGTTTAATTTTCAATTAGATGTATTGCTGCTCTGTAAATTAAACTTTAATTACATACAGGAAACTTTTGCAGGTTCTTACAAGCTATTAGCAGAGCAGGAGATATGAAATTCTAAATTAAACAGAATTTGCAATGTTGGAAGTATAAACATTAGATGACTCTTACAGGAAGTGTTTAGGAAGGCTTTCCAAGTCACATGCAGGGAGGTGTGACTAGGGCTGCATAAACAAAGTGGTTTAAGTCCTAAATGGCAGAGATTTGAGCAGAGAGACTGCAGAAGCATGATCTATACACCAATACTGCTGCATTAAACTAATGTTGTTTTGGGGACTAGTGTCCCTTTAAGTACAAAACAAGTAAATTGAAGCTTTGTCCCTAAGAGGTTAATAAACCTGTTTATATATTGATCAGACGTCTGTCTTCTCAAGGTAAAACTGTTCTAATCCTTCTTTCTGTTTTGGTAGCACCTCTTCAAACAGGAACAATTCATCTAATGGATCTTACAACGGAACAAAGCCAGTAGCAGTGAAAAGACCTGGGTTTATGGCACCCCCGATGCCTCAGAATAATCGCCGTTTTCTAAAACCTGCTTATTCCTTGTTATAGCATTGCACATTTTCCTGTACTGTATGTTTTTTTTTTGTTTGTTTTTTTTTTGTATTAGTGTTAATTTTTACAGATTATATAAATAAATAAGCTACATCTGATTAAAGTTATTTCCTGAGTACTCTCACAAGGTTTGTATGTTTAACATACACTGATCAGTCACAACATTAAAACCACTGACAGGTGAAGTGAATAATATTGAATATATCGTTACACTGGCACCTGTCAAGGGGTGGGATACATCAGGCAGCAATTGAAGAGTCAGTTCTTCAATTTCATGTGTTGGAAGCAGGAATAATGGGCAAGCGAAAAACATCTGAATGACTTTGACAAGGGCCAAATGGTGATGGCTACAAGACGGTTCAGAGCATTTTCAAACCGGCAAGTCTTGTGGGGTGTTCCTGGTATGCAGTTTTTAGTACCTACCAAAAGGTTATGCAAGGAAGAAAAAACAGAGGAACAGTGGTAAGGGTTATGGGCATCCAAGGCTCATTGATGCACGTGGGGAGCAAAGACTAGACTGTTTGGCCCAATCACACAGTACATCGCAGTTTGCTGCAGATGGAGCTGCATAGGCGCACACCAGTCAGAGTGCCCATGATGATCCTTGTCCACCACCGTAATTGTCAGAATTGGATCAAAGAGCAATGGAAGAAGGTTTCCTGGCATGATGAATCACTTTTTCTTTTAGATCAGGTGGATGTCTGGGGTATGTACGTTGATTACTTGGGTAAAACATTGCAACAGGGTGCACTATAGCAAGGAGGCAGTTTAATGCTCTGGGCAATGTTCTGCTGGAAAACCTTTGGTCCTGGCATTCATGTGGATGTTAACTTGATGCATACCACTACCTAGAGATTGTTGTTGAAAAAGGTACATATCTTTTCAAGCCAGTTTAATGAATGGGACGTCACTGATTGATTGACCGCTCTCAGCCAATCAGCGCCAGTGCTGCGTGCCTGGCCTATACTGTTGTCTACTGAATGGATTAGGGGCCCTGGTTACACTGAGGTCTGCAATGCATAGGTGTGCGGATTCTTTCTTTTGGTTGCATCCTCCTGCTACCAGACCTCAATCAACAAGTAAATACATTTATCCTGTGCTGAGTGTGCAACACATCTTCCTTACAGTTGTAAGAGGAAAGTCTGTTGCTAGTGATCTGCAGAAGCCTTGGAGAACTCTAAACAAAAGTATATGCACTCATTCCTTAACTAGAAACTGTCTCTATTTTGTAGTTTTATAAAGGTAGAAAAAGAAGTAGGCCTCCCTTGCCTTCAGAGCTTTCATTGGGTGAATTCTCACAGTGATATTACATCAGTATCCAGTAAGGATTCTGATACTGATTTTCTGATAGAAGAAATTAGCAAGTTTTCAAAAAGTAGTTTTGGTTGTGGTAGAAGGTGTGGCAAAAGGGAAAAGGCTCTCTTAAATTCTTGAGTCTAATTAGTAGAGAATGAAAGAGTTTGCTTCAAAATAATTTCAGCAATTGTTTTAAGCTACAGGCTTCTGAGGCCTAGGGGGAGCTGCCAAAAGTGGATGTGCTGCTAGCACAACTTCTCTCCCCATTGGATAAGTGTCAGGTCTCAGAGATCACATGGCAGAAACATCATGCAGAAGGGTATTCCAGTCCTAGGCATTTCAACGTGTAACTGAGGCCGAGAATGCTTGGCTCCAGTCTCTTGACGAATTCTTAACTGGAAACTTAGAGAAAGATCCTGGGCAGTTATTTAAAAACATCAGAATGGCTAATGAATTTTTATGTGATATGACAGACAAAGCACTAAAACTGTGCAAGGAACATGGTCCCTTCATCAGTAGCAAGACATCCTGTATAGCCAAAGTCAAGAGTAACCGACACAGCATCTAAAACTGCCTTATATGAGCTGCCATTTGAAATAAATAAGCTATTTAGTGCTGCACTTAAAAATCTCATCAAGAAAATGTCAAAGACAAAGAAGGCTTTTACCACATCACATAAGGAGCAGGTAGAACAAGAGGTTTTTTGTTTTTTTTTCATGTTAGCAAAGATCAAACATTCGTAACTTTCATAGGCAGCAATAACATACTAGACCCACTCAGAGCTGGCATGGGGAGGGAGTGAGTAGGCATGAAGGGAGGTTATTTTAATAATAAACAAACTGCTGTAATGGAGGGTGGGAGCGCACAGAGAGAGGCGTGAGTAAAGCGATCACAAGTGAAGAATCTACTTATGTCTGATGTCAGTAAGTTGTATGCGCTGGCAACAGATGTAAAATAAGAACAGAGTTCAAATCTGCCAAAGTTATCTGTGCTGGGAGTGTAACTAGCCCTTGCACTAAAGGTAATATATTTATGGATGTACAATGTTGCTGTACATCTAGACTCCTACCTTCATGACCACTTCACAAATCACTGAAATGGTAATAGTGGTTGGAGTAACCCTCTAAACATCATAAGAAATGGTTACAAAATAATGTTCCTATGAAAACCAGTTTTTTAACTCCAGCTATACCTCCCAATTAAATGTTCACTTCCTGTGGACAGAAACCAGAAAAGACCTTTCAACTGCTTCCTCTTGCTGCTGCTCTTTAAAGGGACTCTCCAGTGCCAGGAAAACAATCCGTTTTCCTGGCACTGCAGGTCCCCTCTCCCTCCCACCACCCATCCCTGGTTGCTGAAGGGGTGAAAACCCTAGGTGAAGGCTGTTTGGAAAGAACTGATCCTGCCCGCTGGCTGAGGAGACCTAATGTGCATGCGCATTAGAGCTCTCCATAGGAAAGCATTGAAAATGCTTTTCAATGCTTTCCTATGGGGAATTGAGGGACGCTGGAGGTCCTCACACAGCTCTAGCACAGAAAACCTGTGCTATGAAGCAGGAAGTGCCCTCTAGTGGCTGTCTTGTAGACAGCCACTAGAGGAGTAGTTAACCTTGCAAGGTAATCTTTGCAGTTTATGAAAACTGCAATAATTACAGTTGCAGGGTTAAGGATAGTGGGAGTTGGCACCCAGACCACTCCAATGGGCAGAAGTGGTCTGGGTGCCTGGAGTGTCCCTTTAAGAAAAAGGAGATGATCTGATTTTGTATCTAGACAACTGGTTCCTCTGTGCTGATTTAGTACAGCATTTAAAAAGAAACATCCATTTAACTCTCCAGACTTTACGAAATCATGGATGGATTGTGAATTGAAAAGAGTCAAATCTTATACCCTCTCAGAAAAGAAAGGAAAAAATCCACAGTGTCCCATCAATAAGGCGATGAGAATTTTTGGTATTCTGATGTTTGCAATTTCAGTGGTAAAATAAGCCAAATTAACAATGAGACTACTCCAGTTGGAAATCCTGCAAGCCTGGATAAAACTATAGGAAGATTTAGAATCAGAAATTATAATTTCAAAAGAAGTCAACTAAATTGGTGGATCCCCCAAATTGGATTTTCTTTATCAAATCTTCAGGAATTGATTGGGGTGCTCACGTGGTGACATTTATGCTTCAAGGGTTGTGGACACCAGAAGAATCCGCTAAATCCTCAAATTGAAGGCTGTTTTGAAAGAACTACTAGCTTACCAATGAGAAATAAGGAGATCAGTAAAATTTTAAATCAGACATCCTGACTACGGTCACGTACATAAACAGGCAAATGGGCACCAAAGTCAAGATATATGTTCTATGTGCAGAGACTATGGCCTGGGCAGAAAATAATTTAAAGGCAATCTCAGCAATATACATTAGAGGAGTAGACAATGCCATCTTCGATAATCTAAGCAAGTCTCAGACAGAATGGTCTTTGACTCATGAGATTTTCTTGCAAAAAGATTTGGTTACCCATCAGTAGATTTCATCGCAACAAGGAGAAACAGGAATGCCCAAAAATTCACCTCCATGTACAGAAAAGAGGATCCACACTTCCTGGATGGTCTCTCAAAAAGATTGAATTATCAATGGCATATTTCTACCCTTCAATAGCATTGGTGCCAAAAATCCTGCAAAAGATGAGAACAGAGATAGCAGTGATAACCATTATACTGTATAGAGCCAATCAAGGTTTGTTTTCAGGAAGCATTTGGGAGCTAATGATTGCAAAACAAATCCTCGAAAACAAGAGAATTTGAACAGAAACCCTGAAACCACTTGATTAACATAGTGGAGACTGCAAGGTTGATTTTTAGAGGAACAAAAGGTATGGGGGAAGAGCATGATAGATTTATTTCTCCTACATAGCATTGCCTCTAATGCTCAATGCATGTGATTCGTCATGAGGAAGAAGTCTCTCCTTACATGGTGTCTTTAAAAACAGCCATTTCTATTGCAATAACATTGACAAAAAGGACTGTGGGGTACTCCAAGCACTTTCAGCCTTGCCTGAAGTCCATATTTTTCTATCTGACCATTGTGCTTCCTATATTATGCCAGTCTCCTCCTCTTCCTAAATAAGCTTGTTTTACCTGCTGGATGTCAAAAGAGCACTAGAAAGCTACCTAACCAAGATGGCGGAGTACAGACCATCAGATCAGATCATCTTCTTATTAATTTCCAATGTTCTAATAAAAGCAAGGAAGCTCTAAAGCTACTATTGCTAGGTGGTTAAAATACACCATTAGGATCACCTACAACTCAAAAGGTCCACTATAATCTTCACACATTAAGGCTCATTGCACAAGGGCAATAGCATCTCCAGAGGATATCTGCAGGGTAGCTATGTGGTTTTCATTTAACACCTTCTTATGGCACTACAGGCTAGATATCTTCTCAGCTGAAGCATCATTTGGGCACGACCCCCTAACTGCCCTGCAGGAAAGTCCCACCATTTGCTTTAGTTCCAAGGTGTTCTGCATCTGGAGACAGGGGACTGTCCCCGGGAAGCACAGCATTAGCTCATCATTAGACGCGCTCAAGTTGTGCAGCAGAAGCACTCCCTGCATGGTCCTAACAGCTGGCCAAGTTGCTTGTGAGGTGACAGGCAGTCCCTTTTTTTGTCTGTCACTCTCTTTTGAGTGGCCCCACCCATTGTGGGTGTCACTAATGACACAGCTCCCACTGCTGGCAACACTTCCTTTAAACTTTGCCTTACCTGTTCTGATTTATAGATGGAACCTGTTAGGAGGTATGTTTGGGGAGAAGATGCTTTAAGAGGC